CCTTTTTCACCTGTCACACACACCCTCGCATCCACACACCCACAACCGTCGCAACAGGCCCTCCTTAGTTTCTTGACCCCTGGCTGCGCCCCCCATCTTTGCAGTTACCAACGCCGGCACCCCTTCCGGTCGTCCTCTACGATAATAATAGCGCCAATATTTTGATCCTATCTTGCAGCGAAACGGGCAGAGCAGCGGCCCCTGCGACTTGGTTTTCATCTTTGGAACCATTCTAGTCGTGAGCAGAGGTTTCGCTGCTTCTTGTCCTCTACCTCGCGTTTTGGCTTTGTCTGCCTTCCTGCTCCGAGAACCGCCTTCGAATCGCAACATTCTGTGCTCGTTTTCCGTACATACGAAGTACATACCACAGTGAAGACCCCGACTTCTTGCTCTTTTCGCACGCCTCTCTTCTCCCTTCATATGCAGCCGCTATCCTTCTGGTAGCCCAGTTAGGAAGGAGTTCGGTATTGGATCTTGTTAGTCTTGACTTTCTTTGCTTTTCCACCTCGTCCAGTCTTTTTGTCTCTCCCTGGCTTTCTTCAACTTTTGCTTGATACCCTTTTTTTTTCCGCCTATGGCCTCGTGTTGTCTATTATTCCTATTTATTTTTTAAAAGATTTTTTCTGACTTGACCAACAGGACACTATTACATATCGCCTCTCACCGCCTGCCGTGTCTTGCCCAAATACACACACACCTCGTCGAGAATTCCATGAGACGTCAGCAGCACTCCGCTGGCGTTTGACAACTGCGTCAAAATACTTTGGCGTTCGATTGCGTCTTGCCTGCGTCTTCCTTGGACGAGGCAGCTTGCAGAACGGATTTCAACGGCCCACACTTTCACACGCCCACCCCTCGTCTGCCGCGTCTCTCATAACACTCCCCAGCTGGGCTGGTTTAGAGGCCCAAGACAGAGTCTTTGCCTCCGACTCCAACCCCTTTTAAGGCTGCCCCTTTTCGTTTACATCTCCGTCGCCACCCGATATCATGGACGCTCCTTTATCTGCAAGCTTCGCCAGTAGCACGAGCACGGGTGACCGGTCTCGTCGCCCTTCATATACCCGCGCGTCGTCTCGTTCGAGCACCGGCACCACCTCAGATTCACGCATGTCGGCACACACTGCGGATCGCTCCATGTCGAACCTGGCTCCCTCACCACAGCTGCCTCTGTCGCAGCTGCAACAGCAAACCTCCTCCTTGTCCTCGACACAGCCGAATTCTCACCTCGTCCATCGCTTCCAGGACGGCACAAACAAGAGAGCATCACCAGCACCGAGCACAAGCACTGATATATCAAAGTTCCGGTCCATCAACGAGTCTACCTCGGACCTCAAGTCGACCGATTTGAAACCGTCCGATTTGAAACCGTCCCTGACCGCGACGTCCAGCTATCTCCAAGAGAAGCTTCTGAAAGAACGCAAAGTTGAGAGCGAACGGAGCTCCAGCCGACTTAGCAACGACAAGATGGCTTCGACGCTGGACCTGCGTGGAGGACAAAGCTCGCCAGCTAGAGCGCCGTTCGACATCAGCCGACCCAAGTCCAGCATGGGCCACCTCGATGGTGGCAAGAAGAAGTCTGGTGTTGGCTTGAAGGAGATGGAACAGGTATGTACAGCACCAGCACCACAGAGCTATTTGGTTATGGTCACGGCTACGGATCTACCAGGCACCCACATCCATGCATTCATCTAACTCTCTAGACTTTGACGACTCTACACAAGCAAAATTTCGACCTCAAGCTCGAGCTGTACCACCGCCGTGAGAAGCAGACCGCCCTCGAAGAGCAATGCGGAAGCCTGGAGACAGAAAAGCGCGAGCTGGAAGAGATCAATGACAAGCTCATGTCTGAGCTTGAAATGCGCGACAAGGCCGTTGAGGAGGCTGTTGCTATGATTGTGTCCCTGGAGGCTCGCCTGGAAGAACTCCTTCAGGAGCGCCAGATGATGCAGCAAGCTGAGAAGGAGCAGTTCTTTGCGACCGACGCCCGGCTAAGGAGCGCCCTCTCGTCTGCACTACACGAGACGACAAACGGCACAGCGGGTACTGAATCTGTCACATCGTTTGACGAAACCCCAAAACCCATGACGAAGGCGGACGACGATCAACGCACCATCAACCGCATGCCGAGCTTCGTGTCTGAGCGCAGCGAGCTTACGGAGAACCTGCGCAACGTGTATCTCGGCACACGTGCCGGCAGCCTGGTCAGCCTGCCCCGCATGTCCGAAGACAATATGGACGTTGATCTGCGGGACGGCATTAACCGCATCGCGAGCCCGAGCCTCAGTGTCCTGAGCGAAAGCTCCTTTCTCAGCATATACGGCAAGACGAAAGACATCCCCACACAAGTCACATCAGCACCATCGGAGCCACGCCCCATGTCGCCTGTCGCCTGCGTGCCCGACATCCCTCGCAGCATGCTGGACGCCGGCTTGAAAGTCGAAGACTCGAATGGAACTGCTGCAGCTGCAGTGGCACACGCCCTTGCATCGGCGGCGCCGCCGCCTGCATCTTCCACTGCAACTACCAATCGACCAGTATCTCGGGCGCAGACACAGAACTCATCGACACCGACTAAGAAGCGGTCGAGTTCGAGCAACCGCAACCCTCACCTGAATGCCAACCAAAACGCCGCCGCGTTCAACTCGCTGACTGATTTCCTCGGAACCAACTCGCCACTTCGGCAGCTGGAGAAAATGGATATCTCTCTCCAGGCGATGAACGACGCATCCCGTCCAGCCAGCCAGCACGGCCGCGCCGAGATCGAGTCTCTGGCCCGCCACCTCCGCGAGCACGAGCTCGGCAAGTCCTATGCCCGGCAGGAGAAGAAGGACGCTCTGCGCAGAGTGCGCACCGACGCACCATTTTCGCGTGACCCGCATAATCTGCCGCCAACCCCCGACACGATCTCGACGTCAACCCTCCGCCGGTACAAGAACTCTAATGACACTCTGTGCCTCCAGGACAGGGACGGTGCCAACGAGCGCAGCTACCTCGCCATGTCCGAAGCCAACACGTCACGGTCCAGCAGCGGCGAGAAGCGCATCTCGGCTCTAGAATCCTTTGTCGACAGCATCCCCGCCATGCACCCGCCGTCGACTTCGGCCTTCAACAGCCGCCGCCACGAGATTGGTGGCCGCAGCACATACTTTGACAGCCAACTGCATATCCCGCCGCGTCCCCGGTCCGCAGATGAGACGACGATTTCACATCACGGTCGGGGCAGCGTCTGGGGCGACTCGGAGAGTTCCGACGATGACATGGATATTGATGGCAACGACTCGGCGTCCCTGCACGACTACTGGCTGCGCGAAAGCCTGCGCCCCACGGGTCAGGCCCCGGCACCATCGACGAGTCGCAGCCGCCGGGGTGGCCGCATTTCGCCCGATCTGTTTAGTTTCCCCACGACATCCAACGGCTGGGCCACGACGGCCATGTTTGGTTCACTGAGCGGCCAGGGCTACCAGGGCTACCAGGGCTCTGCACCCCTGGCCCAAACTCTGGACGCCCTTGGCGCCTCCCTTCCTACGCCCGCGGCCGGCCTCTTTGGCTCCGACGGTCTCCTGGCATCGCCTCTTCCCTACGGTATGAACATGAATGGCATCTCGTCCGGTCCGCCGCCACCGCCGCATCGGCGCTCCAGCTTGCATGCCCACACCGGTTCTACACACGGTTCGCGCCGCGGGTCACTGCACGGTACCGCGCCCGGGACACCGTCTCTTGGTACACCCGGTCTGGCCAACAACAAGAACCGTCGTTCGCCTACGCGGCCCGAAACCACGACCAGTAAAGACGACATGAGCCCGAGCAAGGAACACGACGGCCAGAGTCAACCGCCTACGCCGTCCGCACCTGCCCCGGCCACCCAGCAGGAACAGATGACCGTAGCAAAGCAGCGCCACTACCCGCCCACATCGGGGTCCAACTCGAATGCCACACGCAGTCGTGTGATGAGCCTGTTCCGACGGTCGGGCTCGCACGAGCCAAGTTCGGCGGCTACAGCGGCTCTGACATCGTCGGCTACAGTGCCCGCCACGGCGACACCGACGGAGCCGACGGCCGCGCCCGCGATTGGAATGCCGTCGCGGGTGCGCCGCAACGAGCTGGACGAGGACCATGCCGGTGGTCCCGGTGGCGCCAGTGCGACGCCTCCGCCGATTTTGCGCAACCCGCGTCCTGTGCGCGGCGGCGGCGGGGAGCCTGGTGATAAAGATGAATCGGCGGCGGTGGTAAAGGACGTCGCGATGCCCGTGTCGGCGCCGCAGGCCCCCGAGGCTGCGCCCACCGCAGCGGCTACGGCGACACCGCTGCCGCAGGAAGTGCGCAAGAAGTGGCTGGGTCGGGTGACGGGCCTGCGCAACCGGGCGGGCTAGCGGTCTCGCGCCGGGAGCAAGACAGTCAGAGGCAATTGAAGGCGAGCTGTCGTGTACAGCCTGATGATTGGCTCGTCTGTGGTGGTTATTTTACTTCTTTGTGTTTTCCTTGACATTTCTGTTATTTCACAACCTCTTGCATTTGGCCCACGGTGTTTCGCGATTGGATTTGGGTGGTGTCTGTTGTTTGTATGCCTTTTCTTTGCACTGCAATGGTTTTTGTTACATGGCGTCTTTTTGTCAATCGGATAGGAGGACAATGGGATAACAGGTTTGCGGATTGTTCATTTCACACGAGATTGTTTTTCAAAATGGGAAGTTTGGGAAAAAAAAATCAACGGCCAGAAGAATTGGGCTCTGCGTCGAATCTTTTACATTGCGTCATCCATACATGGGGGAGCACTGCAGAAATTGACACATTATTTTACACGAAAATCACTTTGCGTCGTGACACATTATGCGAGTAAAGTCAACCGTGACAAAATGCTTAGGTGTTGTCGTTTGCGCCGGCCAATGGGACTGCCGCATTCTTGGTTCTTTACAGAACGTGGCCCGTTTGCCGTTCCACGCTTGATCATCAAAAGACACACATTGCTGCACAGCAGCCCTCTTTTTTTCTTACATGTCAACATGGCGGAACCAATACGAAGGCGACCGCGGCAGCGGACAGCAGAGGCAGAGGCAGAACTAAACGACGCCCACAGCCGCATGAGTGGCGATCCACCAGCAGCAGATGCGCCAAACATACCGCCTTCCATGACAACCGCGTCGTCCTCGTTTTTCGCCGTGCCCACGGCTGTTCTCAGCGGTGTCGGTCTGCCTCCATTTGGCGGCATCGTAGGACGGTGGATCTACAGCCGTGTTGCTCGCCATGTGCGATATGGCCCGGCCAGGCAATGCCTGCAGTGTGTCCTCACCGCCAAGGACGGCCTCCTCGTCCACGTCTGGGCGGTCCTCCAAGCGTCCGTCTTTCGCGGCCATGCGGCCACCGCTGGCGTCCCCTACCTTCTCGCCGCCGTCGTCCTCAACCATGCGCGCCGCACGCTCTTCTTCGGCCACCCCGCCGCCGGCTTCTTTGTCCGCCCGCAGCCCGACGACGACTGGCGCCTCTTGCTGGCCCGACCGGACGTGTTTGTGGACGATGTTGTCAAGGCAGTGGAGCGCGGAGCGTACCTCCAGGCGGTCGTGTGGAAGGGTGTCTGGGACGCGTTGGGCGCGGCGATGGCCATTGCGGCGACGGCGAACGAGAACGCGCCGCGGTGGCTCCCCTTGATCCAGTCGAAGAACAAAGCCGTCGCGCGCACACTGGCCCACCGTGCCAAGGACATTGCTGCCACGTTGTTCACGGTCTGGCTCTTTTCCAGCTTCGAGTACGCCGTGGCTCAGGCGTCAACGACACTGGCGGTTGGGTATGCAGTGTGGACGATGCTGCGGGTTCCCGGCAAGGGCGGTCCAGATCGATTGGCGAGACTTCTTTTCGGGGGCTGTCTTAGTGCTGAAGCCTCGATTCTCCTTTTTTGCTGGCTGCAGATGGTTGTGTACCCCGTGGCGGGCCTGGCGCCACTCGTCGTGAGGAGTGTATCCCGTCCCTTGCAACGACTGGGCATTTTGCTGGCACTTGCTTTTGCCTTCGTCGCCATGGACACCGTGGTGCGCTACCGCAGCCGACTGTACATTTCCATTGAGACGAGCGGGCTGTTTGTATTTCTGGGCTATGTAGGCATTTCTGCAATCATGGTGGGTGCCAATAGGATGGGAAGGAGGACAACAGGCGAGACAGACCAGGGAGGAAATAAGCATAAAAAATGACAGGAGACTCTGTCTCACAAAATAAAACAGGCAATAGAACGCAACACGTCATTCCCGTCCTGATCTTCTGTCGAGCGTCTGATGGCTTCCACCGCCTCATGCAAGATGAGATTGATAAAAAGGAGATGGGGCGAGATAATATGAGAAACGGAGACGTCATGACACAGAGCTGGGTGCCACCTTGCTCGTGCCAATGATGGATCTTGGTGCTTGTAAAGACGTCATGTCAGATCGTGGAAGATTCGAAATATTGTGCTGAGTGTAGACTGCCTATTAGTAGAATACGGTGTCGGTGTGCAGTATGTCAGTTTTGCACGTGCTATGTAGAATGAGGCATGTTAATTCACGGGATCCCTGTTTAAAGGAAAAGCGTTCAACTGTTTGGCTTTGTGTTTTGTTCGGGTGAACAAACCATATCCGTGGGCCCATTTCCGTTCCAAATAAGCAAGACACATGACGTGCAAAAAGTAAGGAATAAAATAGAAACATTTCCCAGTAAATGTCTACGTAGACCCCCTTTACTGGCAAGCCAGAACAGCGACGTAGAGCTGGCCACGTTTCTGCTGTAGAGAGCCTTGGCCTCGCTTACACTGCCCACGCCCTGTGATTGGCTGACGCCACCAACGTACACGATGTCAACACCGTGCTGATATGAAATGCAAAATTCAAAGCAGATGCACAGCGTACGCCGAGATCGACTCGTAAAATAGCCTCACACACCGCTCTACCCTTACTCACACTCGTTTTACGAAGCTTCCATTGCGTTTTGCTGTCACTTGATGCGTACATATGGCCAGCGTTGTTGCTCTGGCCATGACTGATGTGCCCTTGAACAAGAGTAGAATCGTGTATAAGTAAGAGGCCACTCGCCCTCCATGGCCGACTTTTTCATTTCTCTTCTCTCACTCTTTCATAACTTCCAAGTTCTTTGATCTAAACAATTTGGAACAAAATAATAACAACTCAGAGTCTCCTGTCGCTTAATCTCGGCAGGCAACTTTCAAAAGTTTCAACAGAGCTTATATAGCCACCTTTGGCCAGCTCTTGACTCTGTCTCCAATATGAGCTGCTTCAAGGTCTACTACGACGACTTGTCTGTCGACGAGATCGTCACCATGGTCAATGACGACGATCTGCCGGACACGGTCCTGCGTCGCAAGTGCCGCATTTGTGCACACGTTCATATGCGTGTCGACCGTCTGCGTGCCTGTTTCTGGGAGAAAACGCAAAAGGCCGTCAACTGTGCCCTTCGTCTGGTCGGGAAGAAAGCTCTTCCTCATCACAAGGCCAGTAGCCACGGCCACGGCGTGCCGGCCAGCGAGCTCTTTACGCCGCAGATGCTGGTCGCCGGGGCCGATGAACTGGCTCTGACGCGGGCGCCGACGGGCATGTCGACCATTTCAGTGTCGTCGCTCCAGTCGCTGACACCGTCGCGTCTGGCAGCAGCTGCGGCGGCCAGCGGCTCCAGCGAGTCGGACGTGCTCGATGACTATCTGGATGCCGTCTGGTTGACACAGCCGCCGCGGTTGACGGACGTGGACCACCCGCTGTTCTCTGTGAACATGGTGACGTACATCCAGCAGATGCAGAAGGAGGGGCGTTTCTAGGTGTGCGGAAAAAAAAGAAAGAAAACGAAAAAAAAGAAAAGAAAACGCACAACCCTTCTAACCCTACCAAAGGCTGGTTGACTAAATCATCACGATGGCCGACTGACTTACATCTGATGTAAGTCAGCCTTCCGTCAACCAATCAGAGTACACCACCACAACAATGTTGGTGCATTCTTGCTTAGAGGCTTCCCCTCATATGCCACACTCTACACAAAGACCAAGAAGTCGATGCTTGGTCCAGTCCGACATTGGCTTCGGCCGGGTGGTACCTTTGTCTACAAGACCAATTGTCTGAAAAGACATCAGAGAAACACCCAGCCACTAGCCAATGTCGGACGTCGTGGAAACAGATCACCTGTTCAGATGAGGGGAACTGTTAGCTTTGGGTGTCGTCTGGTCGTCTCTTCTCGTTGTATTTTCTCGCCTCTTCTCTTTTGAATCAAACAATCAATTGAATCAAGAATCGAGAATCGAGTAACATCATCGACGAGTACAATCATCGAGAACGAGTGCAAATCATCTCACCATGGACCAGACGACCCCCACAATGAGCAAGATGCAGATGCGCGCCAAGGCCAAGCTGGAGGCCGTCATGCAGGGCCGCGGGCCCAACACAAGCATGAAAAACCGCATCGGCACGACGCGGCACCCGTCCATTTCGGACGGTAGCCCGGCCAGCGGTGCGGGCATTGCCAATGCCGTGTCGCACCCGCCGCGGCGGCCGTCGACGGGCGGCATGCTGAAGCGGATCAATTCGCAGCCGGCGTATTGAGTCCGGGGAGGAATCCTGGGACGCAAGGCGCGAGGCGCGGCGCCTGGAAGGCAAGATTGAACCGGACAGGGTGTGGAATGACGTCGTTATTGCAACTTAAATTGGAAACTGTTTTTGTTACCTTGTCTGTATCTGCAAAAATTAATGACAACCAAAAGGAAAACTTGATCATTTGGCATCGTGACGTGCTCATAAGTATACTGTAAACCAGACAAGTTTCACGACGTAGTATCAATCACCGTGCATTAATCATTCCTTTCTGCCTGAGGAGCCTGTCCCGTCGACTCACACGTACAAAATGCTGGACCCGGCCCCTGGTGAGGAGGCCAGTTGAGCGGCGTTGAGAAGGCAGTTGCTCGTCATGTCTGATCTGTCAACGATACAAACTGCAAACCCGGTGATTACGTTTAAGTAGTAGTGGCAGAAGGTCACACAATAAAATACTGGAAGGAATCCCGAACACAATTTATCTCGCTTTTGTATTATATCTACCAGATGTACCATTTTATCGAAATGCGATGGAATATGTTTTGAGCCACAGTTCGCCGTGCATGACCTCCTCAAAAGCGCAGGTCCCAGCCAATCTTGGGGCCAAGCTCCGGCAGACCGTCCGCCACGCTCTGCACGTCCTTGTCGCCACGGCCGCTGAGGCACACTACAATGTCCTCGTCCGGCTTCATCGTCTTGGCCAGCTCCAGCGCGCCGTAGATGCCGTGTGCCGACTCGAGCGCCGGGATGATGCCCTCGAGCTCGCTCAGCAGCTTGAAGCCCAGGAACGCCTGCGCGTCGGTGGCGGCCACAAACTGCGCGCGGCCGCTGTCCTTCCACTGGGCCAGCTCGGGGCCCACGCCGGGGTAGTCGAGGCCCGCCGACACCGAGTGCGTGTCCTGGATCTGGCCGTTGTGGTCCTGCAGCACGTAGGTGCGCACGCCGTGCAGCACGCCGAGCGAGCCGCCGCCGAGCGTGGCCGCGTGGCGCGGCGTGTCGACACCGTCGCCGCCGGCCTCGACGCCGAGCAGCTTGACGGAGGGGTCGTCGGAGAAGGGGTAGAACATGCCGACGGCGTTGGAGCCGCCGCCGACGCAGGCGACGACGGCGTCGGGCAGCTTGCCGCGCAGGGCCTGGAACTGCGCCTTGGTCTCGTTGCCAATGACCGACTGGAAGGTGCGCACGATGCGCGGGAACGGGTGCGGGCCAATGGCGGAGCCGATGATGTAGTGGGTGTCCTCGAGGTGCACGACCCAGGCGCGCAGCGCCTCGTTGACGGCGTCGCGCAGCGTCTGCGAGCCGGCCTCGACCGCCACGACCTTGGCGCCCAGCAGCCGCATGCGGAACACGTTGAGCGCCTGGCGGCGCACGTCCTCGGCGCCCATGTACACGGTGCACTCCATGCCAAACTTGGCGCACACCGTGGCCGTGGCCACGCCGTGCTGGCCGGCGCCCGTCTCGGCAATGATCTTGGTCTTGCCCAGGCGGCGCGCCAGCAGCAGCTGGCCCAGCGCGTTGTTGATCTTGTGGCTGCCCGTGTGGTTGAGGTCTTCGCGCTTGAGCCAGATGCTGGCGCCGCCGGCGTGCTGCGTGAGGCGCTCCGCCTTGTGCAGGTGGCCCGGGCGGCCCATGTACTCGTAGTACGAGCGGTACTCCTTCCAGAACGACTCGTCGTTGAGAATCTGGTGGAAGCCGTCCTCGAGCTGTGACAGGCAGTCCATCAGCGACTCGGGCACGTACTGCCCGCCAAACTCGCCGAACCGGTCGGGCATCTTGTCGTGCAGCGCCGCCAGCTGCGCCACGAGGTTGCTGTCGAGCTCCTGGGCCGTCTTCTCGTCCTTGACGGGCGCGGCGACCTCGGGCGCGGCGACCGTCTTGGCCGCGTCGGCGGCGGGCGACGGGACAGCGGCCGCCTTGGGGGGCTGTGCCTCGTGGCTGCCGTGGATCAGGTAGCGGCAGTACGCCTCGACGGCCTTGTACGGGTCCGTGGCCGTCGCGGGCGTCGTCGCGTTGCGCAGCGTGGTCACAATCTGGCTGCCCACCACGACGCCGTCGGCAATCGCCGCCACCGACTGGTAGTGCTCGTGCGTCGAGATGCCGAAGCCGACGGCCGCCGGGCGCCCGCCGCTGTACTTGTTGACGCGGGCCAGCAGCTCCGGCAGGTGTGCGTTGAGCGTGCCGCTGGCGCCCGTCACGCCCTGGCGCGACACCACGTAGATGAACGAGTCCGCCAGCTGGCACAGGATGCGCATGCGCGCGTCCGACGTCGCCGGCGCAATCAGGGGCACGTACGACAGCCCGCCGCTGCTGACCAGCTTGCGGAACGACACGGCCTCCTCGGGCGGCAGGTCCACCACAATGAAGCCGTTGACGCCCGACTGCTTGCTGTCGCGCACCAGCGCCTCCTCGCCGTACGCCCGCAGCGGGTTGTAGTAGCCCATGAGCAGCACGGGCGCTCTCAGGCCCTTGGCGCGCGCATCCGCCACCATCTTGAGCGTCATCGTCAGGGTCACGTTGTTGACCAGGGCCTGTGTGTTGGCCGTCTGGATCGTCGGTCCGTCGGCAATGGGGTCGGTGAAGGGCACGCCGAGCTCGAGAACGTCGGCGCCGCCGCACTCGAGCCCAAGCAGGATGTCGACGGTGTCCTCGGCACGGGGGTAGCCGGCCGTGACATAGGTGACGAGTGCGGGCTGGGGGTTATCGTTAGCATTGGCTGGCTGATGGCTAGGAGAGGTTGCCACATACCCGGCTCTCGGCCTTACACCGCCGGAAGGTCTCCTTGATAGCCTCCATGATATGGCGTGTGAGTGTATGTGCGTGCAGGAGTGGTAGTGGTTTGCTGATGGGGATAGAGCCTGGCAGTATCGGGAGTCGATGCGACGAGGGGGCGACAGTCCGGTTTATGTATCTTCGACGCGACGTCGACGAGACGATGCGAAAGATGCAGCAATTGGTCCTTCGATTGCTCAATTGGGCACTCCGCCAACGCGTGCAAGAATCTCCGATGTTCTCGTGAGTCACGGTGCAACGCAAATGGTGATTACCAAAGTCCGTCGTTGCGAAGCGGTTCCTTTTGGTGACGGTTGATCTGCAATTTCGTTGCCTCGATTTCCCCCAGACGGCAGTCTCGAACTTTTTTGCCCACCCTTCCCATTTGCGCCGTTTTCGCAGTGATTCGGAAGACAAGCCAATTCGCACGGTCTAATGCGCACTATTCTGGCTTAGAAACAGTGCCCCGCACCGTGGCCCGTACCCGCCCCTCCTTCCATATTCTTACCAGGCTCGTTAGCGTGGGCGACGTCCTTTGTCGGAGTTGCTCCTTCCATCGCCGCTTTTATCTTATCGTACCTGCAGCTACTCTGAAACACGGTCGGAGTTCAGGCGGCCCCACAGCAGGTAGGCCCTGCCCTGGCATTTGTGGACCTGTGGACCTGTGGACGTACATTTTACAACGCACATCGTCCCCTCCACATCTCTCATAAGAGTCTCAGCCTCGCATATGACCGGTAAGAGTGTCGATCCCGAGCCTCGTCGGGCAATATGTGTAGTATTATGAAAGTTTTGATCACTTGTCGTGGCTAACTCACCACAGTAGCTCCAAACGGTTCATGGTAATAACGTCACTCGTCACGTGTGTCTGTGTCACACTAATCCGTCGAGCGAAGTATTGTAATAGCAGGAGCGTCCGCAGCGGTCGTGCCTGCCTGATTCGACAAAGTGCATTAGATAAGTATGAGTGAAAATTTCGACAAATTTGAACAAGTTTGAACTTTTTAACCTTATTTTCTCCTGACTTCCAATCATTCTATTCTCGCCAGTTGCTTCCCCATGCTCCCCTACGCTCACTATCCACCATGTCGACAACCAAGAGCGAGATCCTTGCCCTTGTGGCAGAGCTCTTCGATCGGGACCCCAAAGTGGCAATCCAGATCGGTGAAAAAGCTAACAATCTAGTTCATTCAATTGACAAAGAAACGGCCGAAACCGTGAACGAGCGCAAAGAGCTGTATCGCACGGCGTTCAAGCACGTCTTCGTTGATACCGCGTTTTCACCAACCGCTTCCACGCTGGCTCTTTTTTTGGTCTGCCCCATCGAGCAGCTTCGGGATATTGTCTACAAAGTGACGCAAAATGACACATTGACGACGTTTGCCGTGCGGCATATGGCCGGTTCGGCCATCACTGTTTTGCGATCTTGTAGGTGATCTTGCCATTCATGGTTACCGTTTGGCGTAGCGTTATTTACTTGTTTTAAACAGATTTTCCCATTTCCAGTTATTTTCGTTTGTACTGACCGACACAGTTCTTGCTAAATCCAAGACGCCTGGCAATTCCACTCCTGGAACTCCAACACCAAGTATTCCCAGAATGCCCAATCAGCGAAGTCCAAAAACCACAAAGTTTGCTCCCGCTTCGGCAGGAAGTACACCTCCGCCGGGATCAAAGCCAACCGTGTCGTCACCGTTGGTTGCCACACCCATGGTGACCTCTGCAGAACCTAGTGTGCCTGCAAAGAGAGACGTTAGTGACAGGACGACCTCTCAACTGTCCCTTGGGGAGCCGTCGAGGAAACGACCAAGGTCTAGTTCTAGTTCTCCGGTTCTATCCACCCCAGCCGCTTCCGAGAAAGCTACAGGGCAGCCTCCAGTCCCATCCAGACCATCGGGACAGATTTTGCCACAATCATCTACCGATCCAAAGCAGAAAATGAGACGGCAGTCAGCAACCATCGCTACATATCGGCGAGACGACCACGTATGTGTCCTGTCTGGTTACGGTTATCCCGATGGAGCACACATATTTCCCTTCTCGGCTTCTAAAGTCAACAAGACACGCAGTGACATGTGGTCATTGCTAACCATTTTTTGGGGCCCCGCTGCAACGGACGAGTGGGTGGCAATTTGTGAAAACGACAACATGAGCGAATCCCCGCGGAATATGATATGCCTGTCAAAGCACCTGCACGCCCTATGGGGAGCGGCACGCTTCGGCCTCAAGCCACTCCGCGATCCCCAGGCAGTCGAGCGGAATGAAGTGTGGGTGCAGTTCCACTGGCTTGCCCAAGGCCTACTGCGGCCCAGTGAGGAGGTCGGCTCAGACGCCATGGACCGGCTGGGCGAGTACGGCATGGACCCGACCTTTGTCGACGCCGGTTCGGACTCTAAAATCGACAGGCGAGGCCGTAACGGCACCTTGGCGCACCAGGAGAGTGGACAGCGGATTGAGACTGGCCAGGTTTTTGTGATCAAAGCCGACGATCCTGAGTTGCTGCCGTCCTTGGAGATACTTGAACTCCAGTGGGCCCTCGTTCGTCTCGCAGCCTTATCCGGTGCTGCTGACGTATACTGCGACCATTACAGCGACGATCATGATGCGGTGAGCCTGATTGCCGACGCAGAAGGCTACTACGAGCGCATTTTTGACACCGGTCTAGAGCGGCAGAGCCAGTCTGATTATGCAGACACTGAGGATGGCGCATATGATGCTGACGCCGTCGCTGACACTGACGTCACGTTGCTGGATCTGGACGAGTCAAATTGCGCGTTTGAGGAAGAACCAGACATCTAGCAGAAGTCTTTGTCTCACACTGCAGCCGGGGTTGCGAGTAGCTTAGCGGGCTGCTAACACTGAAACTGACTACTGGGGACATCCAGGTGTGCAACGCCTGGGTCCTCTTCTGGGATTGGGTTTCCTTTATTTTTTCTTTTTCTTTTCCCTTCGTTGTTTCGTTCTATGCTTCCTTTTTCCGTCCTTGTGACTCTACGCGTTGTTGATATGGGCCGTACCGGAAAGTTACGGGTCACACATGCCGCAACTCCCCTGAGAGCAGGGGATCTCATTTAGGTGAGAAGTCTTGTAAAGAACTTTGAAGAATAACACAGTATAGCTTGAAGATTGCGGCCTCGGACGGAGGACTTAATGTATTTTCCATTTTTATAAAAGATATTAATGACGTAGAGTTACAAGTCTAACATTAACGAGAGTGAGGACGGCTTCCTGGGGACGAGTTACGTGAAATTCTGACATATTTATTGGGCTTTATGTGTGTATTCGTTTTGTTTGTTACGCACCTGTATGGTGCACGCACGCCCGCCCTCACTACATTTTCGTCCTTCGCCATCGCAATAGACTCTCCATCCTCCATTGCCACTAATTGTTGCACAGCTTTTGCGACGATGCCCAACTGCACAGTTTTGTGCCAACACACCCACAACATTTGCAGACCTAACGGCATGTCAGTATCTCCGTGTGGTCTTTTCGATCGTTGTGGCAGAGAGAGGGAAGGGACACCGACCTTCCTCGCCTTGTCGGCCTTGTCTTTGCCTTCGATGCAGTTGAGCGTCTGCTGGCCGCGGAAGCCAAACTCGTTGTAGCAGGCGTTGGGGTTGATGACGTCGGCGCAGTCCGTGCTGGCGGCGAGGTCGGCTGGACAGGCAGGGACGGTTTGAGCCATGGCTGTGGCGGACAGCGAGAGGCACACGGCCGCAGTGTAGAGAGAAGGGAGCTTCATCTTGGGCGCGGTCGTGGTGACGTGCAGTGTCGTGATGGGAAGGACGTCAAGGGGCGTGACGCGATGTTGGGGATGCGAGATGCCTTTCCCGCGTCCGTGATTGATATATATCCAAGAGCCGCCAGGTATCTGTGGTGGAGACGTCCTTGCATTCTAGATTAGGAAACGGAGGTGCGTGGAGACTGTCAGAAATAGCAGCAGACTGTCTCTGAGTCGTGGTCGGATAGTGCCCAGCAAATTAGACGACACAAGTGGTTGACGGGCCTATTTACTCTCCCTGCCAACAGCAGGTAGTCATGTTAATGCGCGACTCTCGAATGTCATATTTAGGCGAATGTGTGGATTCGAGGTGCCGAACTATGCGGTGTCCGCCAGTCACACCAGTGCCGCCTGGGGAAAATACTCCGTAGTGTCGTCCCGGTATTATCCATATTGCACGCCCGGATGGAAGATGTCGACTACGCACTCCACGCGAATGTTTGGACGTGGTCAGATTGGATTATATTGTCTTGGATGTAAAGGCTGTAGGTCGGCAGTCCACGGTAGTCCACGGCAGTCGCCCCACAGCCTGTAGTGTCTCGTCAAGTTGCGTTGTCTTCTCTCTTGCAACACACTCTTGGCAGAGCCAATATAGAAGCACTTGGATACACGTCTGCGTGAAATTCACCACCACCCTGGTCAGATGGTCGGCAGTTGCCAGCTGCTGATTTTGGCAGCCTGACCTGCCGATGCCCAGAATCATAAGTACGGAGGGCTGGACTTGTTTTGTCCCAAGATGTCGTCCGTTCCGTCTTCCCATCCTCGGCGTATCCACACCGCAAACGCAACAACTACGTCGACTCCCTGTCTCATACTCCCACCACCATGAAGAGCGCTCTGCTGACCGCTCTTGCCTGGACGGCGCCGGCGTCGGCGCTGATCCGCTTCGGCTGCTCGAGCCTGACGGTGCAGCGCATCGACCCGCTCGTCAACCCGGGCATGAGCCCGTCGAGCCACCTGCACCAGGTCATTGGCGGCAACTCGTTCAACGTGACCATGGACGTGGCGACGCACGACCTGGCGGCGCAGTCGACGTGCACGACGTGCTCGTTTTCCGAGGACTTTTCCAACTACTGGACGGCGACGCTCTTCTTCAAGGCGCGCAACGGGTCGTACACGCAGGTCAAGCGGATGCCGCAGTCGGGGTTCGAGGGCACGACGGGCGGCGGCATGGTGATCTACTACATGTCGGACGCGCTCTTTGACAACGGGCAGAAGTCGAGCGTGACGGCCTTCAAGAAGGGGTTCCGCATGCTGGTGGGCGACGCGTCGTTCCACACGCGGACGCAGGCGCAAAAGTTCCGCCAGCTGACGTTTACGTGCATGGCGGACGCGAGCTCGCGCGCGCCCGAGACGCTCGGCTTTCCGGCGACGCCGTGCAAGGCGGGCATCATGGCCAACCACCTCTTCCCGACGTGCTGGAACGGCAAGGACCTGGACTCGCCCAACCACCAGGACCACGTGGCCTACCCGGTGAGCGGCACGTTTGAGAGCGGCGGCCCTTGCCCGGCGTCGCACCCGGTCAAGCTGCCGCAGCTGATGCTCGAGACGGTCTGGGACACGCGGCCGTTCAACGCCAAGGAGCTGTGGCCCGCGGACGGCAGCCAGCCGTTTGTGTGGAGCAACGGCGACAAGACGGGCTACGGGTCGCACGCCGACTACATGTTTGGGTGGAAGGACAACTCGCTGCAAAAGGCCATGGACGCGCACGCGTACGTGACCGGGTCCGGGCTCAAGACGCAGACCATTGCGCAGCAGAACAAGTGCTCGGTCAAGGACATGGTCAACGAGAAGCTGGACGGCTGGCTGTCGGAGCTGCCGGGCGGCATGACGGCGGGCATGTAGTGGGACTGCTGTGTCTCCTCAACTGCTTTTTTTACTTTGTTGTAGTCGTTGTCACATGTATTTCTCACTCTTTTATGTGGTTAATCTCGGGGACGCAATCAGTATGGTGATATTCTGTTATTATACATGAGACTGAGTAGAGATATGCAATACGTATACAAGGCCATCGTCGTCGTCTACTCCTCGTACTCTGGCGGCTGGGTGAATCCGTCCTCGGGCAAGGCATCTGCGCCTGTGCCCGGACCGTTAAATAGCAGCACCAGCAGAAACAGGCGCGACCACACCAGGAAGCGGATGGTCGTGTCCACCAGCCACACGCCCCAGGCCGTCGCGGGCGACAGGATGCGCAGCAAGCCGGGCATGAGCTTCTGGGCCTTGTCGACGTGCGGGCGCATGTCGGCCTCGTAGGCGGCCAGTGCGGTCTCCACGTCGTCGGCGTGTTGCGCCAGAGAGGCGGCCAGATGGTATGCGCCCAAGAGTGCCAGGGTCGTGCCCATCCCCGAGAGATGCGATGCACAGTGGGCCGCATCGCCGAGCAGGACAACACGCCCACGGTGCCACGTCGCCATCTTGACCTGCGCCACCATGCTGTAGTAAAAGTCGTCGGAGGCCATCATTTCCCGTACGAGTCGCGGCGCCTGCCAGCCGGCGTCGGCAAAGTAGTCCCGAATCAGCTCTTTTTGGGCGGCCACCACCGCCTTGCCGTGGCCTTGTGCCGCCTTGGCCAGTCTCTCGTCCGTTTCGTTGACGACGGTCAGCAAGGCCGTCGACCGGTGGTTCTGCCTTTCCGGACGGATCGACAGCAGGCGTCGGCCGTGGGTGTGGTAGCAGCGGCGGTAGTCGCCGTCGCCGGCGGCTGCGTCCTGCGGCAGACTGAAGAAGCCAGCGTACATGTGGAGCGGACGCACACAGTCTGCCTCGTGGTCCGGGCCCCAGACCATGGATCGCGTGGAACTCAGCAGGCCGTCGGCGCCCACAACCAGGTCAAATGTGCGCTTGGTCCCGGCTCTGGCAAAGTGCACCGTCACCGTGTTGGTCGTATGGTCCTGTTCAATGCCGTCCAGGTGGTCGCCAAAGATGTACTCCACCGCATTGGTGTCGGCGATGGTCGTACTCCGTTTCCACAGAATCTGCGCCATGCGCCCCCGCAATATTTCAATGTCGCTCGTCGGATTGTGCCGCCCCGTGTCGCCGTCGCTGGCGCCGCCCAGCTGCGCCCAGACGTGGCCAGCCGACGTCACCCACTGCACGCCGGCCTCGCCCGTCGTCGATGCCTTGACGGCTTTCTCGATGCCCAGTTTTCGGAGCAGTGCGGCACCGACGCCGCGGACGTCGACATTCTGGCCTTTGTTGCGGACAGCTGGGGCACGCTCGAGGACGGTTATGCGCGGTCGTTGTCCGGGAGGAAAGGGTGCCATCTGAAGAAAACTCGCCAGTGCGGGACCGGCGACGCTGCAGCCGACGATGAGAATACTGAGGGGCATGATGTGTGAATAGGGGTTCGGTTATAGCTTTGGAACTCAACTATTCTGATTAAATAGCATATTTTTTGGTTTCCTCGTCTGCATTAAATACAAAGGCAATTACAACAGTCGGCCAGAAGATGTGCCTGCGGCGACGTCGTCTTACACGATGGTAGTGGTTCTGCGGTCTTAAAAGCCGAGCGGCCAATAATAGCCATCCATTCTGCAGGGAGCCCCTCGTACCGGCGTTTAAGATCGCTTCCACGTCCGTTCACGTCCGTTCACGTCCATTTACCTCTGTCATTGTCAAAACCCGCAATGACCGAGGAGAAGGACTTCCGTGGCAACATGCATTCACAATCCCCTGCTCCCCTGCCACAGCTCAGCTGCGAGGGCTGCCGCGCACGCAAAATCAAGTGCGACAAGCAGCAGCCGTCATGCTCTGCGTGTGTGGCAGCCAACGTTCCTTGTGTGCCCGTCCACCGTCTGCGGCTGCCACGAGGACGGCATGTCACGAACAATGCGGCCGTGGCTAAGGTAACGACGGCTCCTGAAGACACCCGCGATGATCTCAGAAGACGCATTAGGCGACTGGAGGCGCTCGTCAGTCGAACGAGTCCGGCATCGACCTCGACATCGATATCGCCATCTTCGACAATGACGGGATCAATGTCCAGTCCGACTCGAGCAGACGCTGGACCATCGGCTCCCTGGGTAATGCACCACCCTGAGCATTTCTGGGAAGAGCTCACCGCGGCTGTGCAGGAGCTGCGGGATGTCGTGGAGTCGAGCCCCGAAGAAGCGGAGGACGACACGGCTCAAACACACGCCGAAGTGTCGAGTCAGTCAGTCCGACCTCGAGACCTATCTGTCCTCGGTCTGGCAACTCTACCCAGTCACGTCTCGTGCCCCAGCCATATCCTTCTGGACCGTCCCTTGGTCGCCCAGCTATGCACCGTCTATCTCGACCAAGTCGACCCGATCCTCAAGATTCTGCATCGCCCGACGATAGCGCAGCACTTGGTGGATGATGCATCCTACCTTAGCTACCCAGATGGCCACACATCCGTTGCCGCTCTAGACTTGGCGGTCTTGTATGTGGCTGTCAATAGCATGGACGATGAACAGTGCCGGACATTTCTGGGGAGAGACCGGTCAGGGCTGCTGCTCGCCACGCGTCAAGCCTGCGAGGCGGCTCTGGAACGTGCTGGCCTCTTGACGACGCGCGACATGACCGTCCTCCAGGCATTTGTGCTGTACTTGGCCGGACGGCAGGTGGAGGAGCCCAGCCGGGCCGTGTGGACGCTGCTGGCCGTGGCCGTCCGCGTCGCCCGTGCTCTGGGCGTGGATGCGCCGCAGGCGAAGGCGACGCAGTCCGTCTTCGTCCGCCAGATGCGCCAGCACCTGTGGATGACAATCTGCCTGATGGATGTCCAGGTGGCCTTCAGCATGACCTCACAGCCCCTGGTGGCTGCCGACGACGCTCAGGCGACGGCCGAACGCATGCCGCGGCACGTCAACGACGCCGATTTCGGCCCGGGGACAAGCGACGTCGACGTGCCGGCCGAGCGTACCGGACTGACGGACACAACATATGCGCTGCTCAAGTACCGTACGCAAGCGCTTGGTCGTAGGTCGCGATTCGTGCCGCTGGCAGACACCGAAGCGATGCAGGCCAACGACGACAGGAAACGCCGCGACGACGCCCAATCTCTCTGCGACGCCTTCACCCAGGAGGTAATGGCACTCGCCTGCGGTCTTGACCCCAACGACTCGCCGCTTGCATGGCTCGTCTTTCACAGCACACAGTGTTTTGCCGGCGGCGCCCAAGCGGCTCTGTACAAGAGTCTGCCCGACGGCTCCAAGACAGGCCGGCCGGGTTTGCTGCGGGCCTGCGCCCAGGTCCTGGAAACGACCGTGCTGATGCACACCGACTCGCGCGGCAAGGGCTTCCGCTGGTCCATGACGGTGCGGTGGCATATCCTGGCCATGGCGCTGGCCGAATGCTACGTCTGCGCGCGGGCGGCCAGCCCGGATGCGTCGCTCCTGACAAACGTGTGGCCGACCATGGAAGCGGCATACGCCCATCATGCGTCTATTATTGGACGGCATCGCGGCGGCAGGCTGACGGGGCCACTGGGCAAGCTGATGGCACGAACGCGACAGACGGTGGAGGCCGTGATTGGCCCGGCGTGTGGCCGTACTGACGAAGCACAGGCATGCATAAGGACACACTACGCGGAGCCATCTGACACTGCTTCGTCAGGACTGCCAAGCATGGACACAGAGGACACGCCGTCCGTTGATTCCTGGAGCGCATCTTGGGACGCATGTTGGGACGAATTCGTGTCGGCCGCGGCACTCGACGACGACTCCATCGAAGCGGCTTGTTTCGACCCACTGTTTCAAGGGCAACGATCTACTGTCTGGTAGAAAATACGTGAAATAGGTCAAAGAGTGAAGACGAGTAAGCAACCAAACGGAGAGTTTGCGTAAAAATAGTGCCTTGGAGTTGGGAGACCCGGACAAACTTTGTCCAAACAATGAGATGGTTAGAAAGGCTCGAGTTTCTTTGGTATGTCTATTTTGGCCCTGAGCAGAAAAGCACGTGTCTTGCTTTGCATGTAATGTCATGTGGAGTCGGGGTATATTTCACAGACACAGAGGTTGTCCGGACGCGTGGGGCATTTACGAGATGCATGTGTATAAAACATACTTCACCACGGAGTTGTTATAATGGCCGATTTGACTTTGCGCAAGGACGGTTCAAACTGATTTAGCCTGGGAGCATTTGTATTGCCGAATTCAGTGGGATATTTGTACGCAACAAATGTATTTTGGAAGCTTTGAAATAAGACACGAACAACCAATGAAAGCAACACAGGAAGGGCAATGCAGCTGCAGTTCGAGGCACTCCGGCCAGTGGCTTGTGGCCACTTGGTCGGCTTGCTTGACGTCCAGTAAAGAAGGGGCGCCAGTGTGCCAGAGCACCATGCTTCCCTGGAAAATAATTGAGCACCACTGGACTGTTTCATCGTCCACTTTGGGTGTCGTGGACACTGTCTCCAAGTGTACATCGAAGCGGCTGACTCTGAAATATCCAAGATACAAAGCATGGGCCGACGACACGTCGACGGGTTCACCCACATTGTCCAGACGAAAATCCCACAATGGAACACACGGCCGCCTATCACCGTACGAGAACAACAGGCCACCGATGAGAGTACGAAGGTCCTTATCTCCTCGTCGACAGTACGACGGCGTGACGGAAACCACGCCCTCGAGCGGAAGCGTCGTGGAAAAGTACGCCTCGTTCCGAGGACGGGCAGGTTGGGCCGGCGAGGTCGATCCGATCGGGGGCAGCACCCCAATGTACGCATTCTCAAAGACCAGCCGTTTTATGCCACGCGGCCACACGTTGTAATGGATGCGTGTCGGGGCGTCTGTCGGCAAGCTGGCGACATTGTGGTACTGGAGATGGTTGCCGCGTTCCCGCGAGACATTCAGTGGCAAAACGCGCGGTCGAACGGGGCCAAACACCATGTAGCGCGACTTGTTGGTCCGAAAATTCAGATCAATGCGAAAGGACTGGGCGCCGCTGTAGTTGTCCCGGCCATAAATGTCGACAAGTCGCTCGCCTGGCAGCAGGGGGAAATAGATCCAAAACGCATGCTGGTACAGTCGGTCATAGTGGCTGTAAAAGGACGTGTCTTCGCCGTGGCGGTGCGCGTGTAGAGCCATTATGGCGTGCTCTTTCTTGCTCCAGAACGCGGAATAGCCGGTAATGTCCGGCGTGTTGCAGACCATGGGCATCATTTGCCGGAACCCACAGTCGTCGAGGTCGCTTAAATAAACATGTAGTGCGCCCAGATACCCAAGGACAAATCCAGCTCGGCACTGCAGCTACGGCTGTGTTCCCAGAGCTGACGCACAGCCTCGACAGCGTACAATAGCACAAGATCGTTGTAGGAAGCTATTTTGTGCCACAGCTCAGTCGGTAGGACGGCGTCTGGAAAGAGTTTGGGCAGCTCGGTCGCCAAATGTAGCCGCGTCCGGTGCCAGCGACGGCGGTCGTCGAGTTGTGGCGGGGGAAATTCATATTTGGTGCTCTCAGACATACTCCATGAGAGAAGATCATGTCCCCAGAGGTCCAGACATGCCTCATGGTAGCCTGTCGAGGTGGTGGACGGTGACAGTTTGGCCCCATCCAGGTGTGTGCGAATTCTCACACCCGCACTTTCGTCTGTATCGATATAGCCCAGAAAACGGTACTCGAGTGGTTTTGATCTCTTGCCCGCCAAGTCTGCAAGGCGCTAAGTATATGAACGACACAGAACATAAACAGAGAGGCGACAGGCGGGGATGAGCAGGCGCACCGGCGATATAAACGTCTCCTGTCTCAAAGTGGAACCGGCAGGGCACGCACCGAGTTGGTAGATGATGGGTATTGTCGCTCTCCCAGTTATTAGACATTAGACATGGTTGCTTTGGCTTGGTGTTGCGAACTTGTGTTGTCGAGTCGACCGTTCTACGTCATATGTTGAGAAACGCTCGCTTTCCGCGGCCAACGATCCCTCGTCCTGAATGATGCCTCAGCTGGGAAGCATGAACGAATGGTCTTGATGACTAATTTCGGCCTCGTTACTCGAGCAAGCCGATGTCAATGCCAAGTGCATCTGCCCCACGTTATTTTATACTTATTTGTCCTTTGATAAGAGAAACGTTCGCTGCTTTGCTTTTCTTGATAACGAGAACGAAGGTGTTGGATATTTACTACACATCTCTCTAGAACGTACTACAAGTAGTCCCACTTTTTTGTAAGCCAAAAACACAGAGCCGGCCCGTTCCGAAACGGCGCTGTCTGCGCGGCCAAGGCCGACGGATTCTCGAGACGCCTCGCCGGACAGCCTCGTCTTCGACCGAATGATCCAGTTGGTGCGTAGGTGGGACGGATACCCGCCCCTCTGTCGTGTGCAAGTTCCGCATCTGTCGGCGGTTTACCGATCGAGACATCCGTTTGCTCTCCAACAGTGACCGCGTGGACACAGTGTAAGACGACCATTCACTGTCGTCAAGACTGCAGTAAACCGTTGATCATCAGGAGTTTGTCGTTGCAAGTACCGATTATGACCGGACACCATGCCCAGAGAGCGTGTAGGTGAAGAGTACCGCAATACGACCTACATCGTACGACAATCGCAGGCAGCAGCTACCCCTGTCCTTGTTGTGATTGGTGGGGCGAGCCTTACAAACCAAAGTTGCAAGTGCTGATTCGAGCATATTTAATCTCCTGTGCTTGGGATCCTTCGACTCCAACTCTTTTTCTTGTTAATCGTGGTCAGACCTGCGACAGAACACACACACACACACCGCCATGTTTGCCCGCCACGAAAGCGACAAGCCCCTGCATCTCGGCCTCACCGCCCACTGCGGCCTCTGCGGCACGGCGCTCGAGGTCGGCGACGCCTGCACGGCGCTTCTCGGCGTCGACCGGGCTATGCGGTACCGTCGCCGCACGCCGCCGTTTGCGTATCCCCAGTATGCATTTTTCCACGGCGAGGTGACGGCCGGACTGGATCCGGGTGACGAGCCGGGGCAAAACAACAAGAACGAGCCGATGATGTGCCGCAACGCCTCGTGCACCAAGGGTACGGCCATGCTGGAGGCCTGCACCGTGCATGTGGACTGCCGCATTGTGTTCCGGAAGCACTGCGGGAGAGGCGGCGACGATGCTGGTCTCGACAGCCAGGACGCCCTGGACCGTCTCTGGATCGCCGCTGCTTGGCGGCGGCCGTGGCGACAGGCGGCATGGCTCTGGCTGGACGAACCGGGCCAGGCAGACCGGCGAATCTCCGTCGACCGGGTGGCGAGGGCCAGTATCGCCGCCGGACATGGCCAGGAACAGGAAGGGGGGCAGGAACCGGATCTGTCCAGCCTCCTTCGTGGGCTGACGCGACTGCCGCCCGAGCTGGTCGACATTGTCCTCCAGAACTCTGCCGACAGTCAGGTCTGGCGTTACGCAGCAGTGCTCGACCGGGGCCAGCCCCTCGCCGAAAACACTGGCCAGCTCGCGTCCGTTCCGCTGGTCGATGTTGCTGCCTGGGAGCGGGGCAGCCCCGTGGTCCTTTTTGGCTTGGAACATGCAGCCAGCGCGGCCGACCACCCGATTCTGCTGCTGACCATCGACGCCCGGGGGCTGAAATCTGTCCAGCGGCTGGTGGCTCGACCGGCCGCCACGCACAATCGAACCTCTCACACGGAAGCGTACACCATCGTGGACCAAGCCGGCGTGAGGGGTGTCAAGATACACTTCAAGGTGGGTCACAATTGACTTTGGATGTATTTTATATATACAATTCGTACGCTTCCACTGACTGTGCAGTATGGCATGGCCCGCTTGGAAGTGCCCAAGAAGATGAAGGGCCTCCACATCTGGGACACACCCACGCCGCCGGATGTCTCGGCCGACTGTCGCCTCATATTTTCCTGCATTGTCCCGACCTCCAAGTTCCAGACGGCGCCGCTCGACCGCTGTGACGGCATCACGCTTATGTTTGTGTACAGCAAAGTCGCGGCCGTGCACATACATACGCCGGCAACGCCGGTGGCCCGCTTCACTCAACTGGCCTTGGACCCCGATGCTGTGAACTGGGTGTACATTCCCATTCCACGGGCGGCCGGGGAACGGGTCCTGGCCTTTGGAGCAAGACGGAATGCCAGCCATCTGCAAGAAGCCGAGGAAGAGATGGCGGATGTAGCAGCGTACGCCGTGGAGAAGAAAGCAGAGAAAGAAGCAAAGCGGCGAGCCAAGAGAAAGGCAAAGAAAGAAGCGCAGCTGACACCGATGGCCAACGACAATGAAGAAGAAAACGAACAAAAAGAAGAAAAAGAAGAAGAGCAGGACGAGGGGGACGAGGAGGACGAGGACACGGAGAACGACGACCATGACAGAAACGCATACGTCTACTGCAACGCGAATTTCCTCTTCCGCTTCCGACTGGCCGGCGACGTCTCGGTCGGCCCGATGCTGGACGCGCCGCGGGTCGACACGGTCGTGGCCGCCAGGGCCCCCATCTCGTTGGTGTTTTCCATCGGCGACTCGGAATTGCTGGCCGTCGCCGGGGCGTACGACGCGATCCCGCGGCCCCCGTCGCCCGTCACGCTGGCGCCGCCCTTTGGCGCCCTCCCCACGCGCGAGCCCGCCCGGGCCAACGACTACAGCAACTTTGTGTCGACGGCGCCGATCGACACGCCCGTGGCGCGCATCACCGTCTTCAGCGACCCCACGTACGGCTTCGACCGCGGCCTGCTCGTCGAATACGCCACGGGGGCCCAGCGCGCTCTGGGCCAGTGCCGCGTCGGCGTCGACGAGACGACCGTCTTTGACCGCCCGCAGTGCCTCTGCGTGCGGCCCGCGAGCTACGACCGCACCAGGCCCCGCTCCTCCCACGGACAAAGGCACTGGCAGAAGTGTCAGGTGTTCTACGCAGAGTGCAGCGCCGACATCAGCGACGGGCACGAGGACGAGGACGTGCACGGCGAGGAGCAGAAGAAGGCCCTCTGGAGCTGCATTCCGCTCGGGACGCCCGGCTGCGGGACGCTGGAGCTGACGTTTACGGGCACGTGGGGACGGGTGGCCGTCAGTGGCGATTATGGCGAGAAGCAGGCGTGGCGCAAGAAGCGCTACGATCTTAGCTATTCCCGCTTCCACAGGAGGTGAAATGTAAACTAGGCAGAGACGTGTCGCTCTCAGGCGGTATTTTGCAGTATGGAAGCCACCAAGGCCAAGAGTCGCGCAATTCCACAGTGGGTCTATTATTCATTGAAGCAGTATAATCACAGTAGGCAAGAGAGAAGATGAATTCTAGAACCAGCTAGTATTGAGTTATGGACTTAAACTACACTGAAACAAACAAGCAAAAAAAAAAGGAAAAGAAAAAAAGAAAAAAAAGGGGAAGGGGGCAGAGGAAGGGGGGGAAATCAAGCGGAGGCGAAAACAAAAAATACTCAAAAGGGGGTGATCACTTACAAACACAGCTTCTCGTCTTCCTGTCTTCCTGTCTCCTCGTCTTCGACCGAGCCAGCGGTCGGATTGTCACCTTGTCGTTGTCGTTTCTCATATCGAGAGCCGGTGAGCTGGCCGCATCTACAACACGCAATCGTACCGGCACGTGTACATGCTGTGCGTGTCAGTATAGGTCCATTGGCACAGAAGCTGCGGGCATGCCGACCGAGTGATAGTTGCCGCTTCACACATCTCGTTGGTGACCGCAGTAGTGACATGACCACACGTGAAGTGGGTGTAGACGACGAACATGTGGCACATATTGGCGGTGGTTGTGGAGCGCGCGGTAAGTGCTGGCGTGGCGATTGCAGGAGGATGTAGAAAATGGGCAAGTCAGAAGGCAGGGAGCGATCAGACTTGAAGCGGCTGTCGGTGGAAGAAGTCGTTGACACGATGAAAAACTAAAGGACGAGGCTGAAAGTGTTGTTGAAGAGGCAGTTGTGTTTGTGGATGATGATCTTCTAAAATGAATCGTAAAACAGCAAGAGACAGAGTCTATATTTATATCCACGTCATGCCACAGTACATGAAGGAGAATTCAAGAATAGTTTATATGAACATCGGGTTGTTTCTTTTGTCTTGGAGAACAGAACAGCATAGAAAACAAAGTGAACAACTTCATTCATCGTTTGTCGAGAATGCATTTACCAACTCCCAACAACGTCTCATACTGCTGGCTAGCATGCAATACTACAAAGGCACAAAAGCGAGTGTTCAGTGCATAGCCATAACTGTTGTGCTTGTCGCGAACTTTCATTGTTGTCATTGTCATTGAGTTGCTTTGTGATGTGCCCGTGTTCTTTCTTGTTATTTCCCTTTGGCGAGTGGCTCAAAGTCTCTTTGTCGCTGTAGTTCTGTAATCTTTTTGTTTGTTCATAAACTATTTTTGCGGTCCTTTGTCTATAGTTCGTTGCATGCACAACACCAATAGCTACACAGCGACAATGCCCGGCCTCGTTTCAATTTCCTTCACATTCGACGTTTTACATACCTCACATTTAAAATATTCTCTATTTGTGTCCTTTTGCTACTACAACATTTAACGCAGTGTGGCGGAAATAGAACAAAGCAAAACAACCACGTTTGCACGTTGAAAGCACAGAACACTGGCGAAACAAAATACATTTTCACAAGGAATTCTACATGCAAAGAATTTTTCTAGTTTTACTTGAATAATATCACATGTGACATGACAAGGTGAAATGGGTGTTGCAAAAAAAAAAAAAAATTGTATTGAATAATTTCTACGGATCACCAACGTGTAAGCAGACCAGCCGCGTACACTCTCGACGCATTGTTTACTCTACGCCATCGCCGCACAACTGCGTACCAGTCAAACCGCCCGCCCTCTACGGCTCCTCGCGCCACGGGGCACACGTCGTGCACTTACCATGAAACCACACATCCTTGGACTCCATCTCGCATTTCTCCTGCGGGCACGTCTTCTTCGGCCGCAGCAGGCCCGGCACCACACACACCTTGGTTCGCGCCACCTTGTTCGTGCTATGGCCGCACTCCTCGTAGACATAGTACGTGGTGGTCAAGACACACATGATGGCGATTTTTTCTGGTGGCTGGCAGGAAAGGTGTTGTGTACGATGTCAGGGCTTCAGCGCAAAGAAGGCGGTGCAGACGATTGAAAGTTGGCGAATATAGTGAAGGTGTAATGTTGAGTGTTGATGATGATTCTCAAAATCGAGACGTGAAATTGCAAACGGGCAGGACCTTTATTTATAAGTGCCATGTCGGTGGACTTGAAGAACGTCGTGGACTGAACAACATAAGCACGTTGTTCTCTCATTATGAACCGGTTTTGGTTTTTTTCTTCCTTTTGGTTCTTTTGTTCTTTGTCCTTTTATTGAGACCCCGTGAACAACATCTTTAGTATGGAATACGAAACATGTTCACGGTGCTTCCATTGTTCCCAGTGTTCGCAGTGTTCGCAGTGTTGTTGGCTGTCCATTGCTTTCCATTGTTCGCAAACCAATGCTTTATTCTATTTTGTTGGACTCGTTTTGATTTGCTCCAACGTACAGTACCGCAACTCATTGGATTACCAATACTTCAAAAATATACAAATTCAGTTAGGTGAATGTTGTATGGAGTAATTTCTCTACGACATATCGTTAAGACAACAGAGTATTAGGTTTCACAGATTCTTAAGTTGCGTGATAAATGTCACATTTTGGCCTACATGCGGAGCGTTATTGGGGAGAGTAAAAGTTGATTTATTGACAAACTTACCAACCAGCGGTTTCATCATTCGACGGCAGATATTGTATCTACCAAGCATTCTGTGCTCTACAAGTACAATCTACATTGTCGTTCCTTTTCGATGTCGTGCCGAATCAAAAGCACCACCACAATCTCTGTATTCTACGTCCTTACTCCTTTGCTTCTACCCCGACCTCGTCCTGCGCGTTCGCCAGCGTTTCTTCCTTTCGCTTGCAGCGGAAGCACACACAGTCGTACGTCTCATCCGCCATCGACATGGGGCAGATTTGGTCGGGACAGTCCTTGCGGATGGCCGTTGCCTCTGGGCAGTTGGTGACCTTAGTATAGCGATCCTTGTGGCCGCAGGTGTGGTGCATGGTCACGTAGATGAGTTCGCACATTGTGGCGGTCGTGGTGGTGGTAAAGTTGTTGAAACGGGGAGTGTTGTGGAAGATGCACAGGCGTTTTGTAGCAAAATGGTTCAGAGTGGCGATGCAGGGAAGTGGGAGCAAAGGGAGAGGCAGGATGCATTTATATCTGAGATCTGTTGGCAAGACATGAACATGCAAGAAATGTACTGTTCTTTGACACGAGCTTTGTTCTTGTACACTCTCTCCTTGTTTTACATTTTGTCTTTGAATATCACTCAAAATCGCATTGTCAACATTGTGAATAACGTGAATATATCTACCAGGTGAACATGACCCCAGCCACTGCCCTTGTTGAATTGCACATGCTTGTACCATTTTGTATTCCCATACCGTAAACCCAAACTTTTGTACACGTACATGCAGACATGCTTGTTTTGCCTTGTGCGCTGAACACGGCGTCTTCGTATGCGCCCTGCTCACCGCCTACTTCCTACTTGGCAGCCGACCGGCCGCCCAGCCGGCCGGCGGCAATGTTCGCCAGAGCCGCCTCGCTGAGCTGCGGCAGGGGCGTTGCCAATGAGCCGGCCGGTGCCGCGGGCAGGAACCCGGCGGCCACCAGGTAGGCCAGGTAGACGCCCATGGTGGCGATGGGCACGGCGTTGTCGGCGGGCGTGGAGGCGGCGTCGTAGAGCTGGAGGGCGCGCTGGGCGTGGCGGTCGTCGAGCTCGGGGGCCAGCGAGTTGCCGGGCAGGTCGCCGACGACCATGTGGAAGAGCGGCAGCAGGGCGAACTCGCGGCCGGCGGCGGCATTGGCGTTGGCGGCGTTGGCCTCGTCGTCGACGTAGGCCTTGACGCGGTCGGCCCAGTCGGCGTAGGGCACGAGCGGCGCCGTGTAGCCGTAGGCCTCGAGGGCGCCCATCCACTCGTTGAGCGTGGGGCGCGGGTGGCCGGTGACGTGGGCGACGGCCAGGGAGACGCCGTCGGCCGCGGCTGGCAGGTAGAACGCGGCCGCAACGACGATGCGGTTGACCTGGGTGACGGGGACGGCATTGAGGGTGTTGGCGATGTCGGGGCGCGCGCCGACCTGCAGACAGCCCTTCCAGAGGCGGACCAAGAAGTCGTCCGTGACGGAGGTGCCGGTGACGGGGTCGCCGGTGATGTAGCCCGAGCGGACGATGGCGCCGACCAGACCGCGGCGGCCGGCCTCGCGCAGCAGGTACTCGCTGGCCCACTTGGACTGGCCGTAGCCCGTGGCCAGGCCCTTGCGGCTGCCGGCCAGGTCGTCCGTCTCGAGCAGCGGGGTGCCGTGGGGGCCGGCGGCCTGCTGGACAAAGTGGTCGTTGTCGAGCGCCGACGTGGAGCTGACAAAGGCGAGGCGCTTGGGCTTGCCGCCGCCGCCGCCGCCGCCCCCCGCGGCGCAGAGCTGGATGCACGTCATGGTGCTCAGGACGTTGGCCGCGCGCAGGACCGAGTAGGGCAGCATCCAGTTGACCTGGGCGCCGTTGTGGATGACGGCGTCGACGGTGCTGCTGAGCTGGGCCCACACGCCGTCGGCGAGGCCAAACTGCGGCTGCGCAAAGTCGCCGGCCACCACCTGCACGCGGGGTGTGGGCGACGCGGTCCGCCAGGCCGGCGACCAGAGGCCGTACGCCGTCATGACCGACTCGAGACGGGCGAGGCCCGCGGCGGCGTCCTTGGCACGGACGAGCGCAATGACGTTGGACTGCGTCGGCCCCTCGATCAGCTCGTGCACAATGTACGCGCCCAGGAACCCGGTGGCACCGGTCAGGAACACGGTCGGGGCGCGCCCTGACGCGGTGGCGGCGTCCCAGGTGGCGGGCGCGGCGGGGATGCGGGCGGGCAGCTGGCCGGCGAGCTCGCGGGCGTCGACGGCGTAGGCCTCGTCCTCGGCGTGGGCGTCGGTCTCGAGGGGCACGGCGTCGAGGCGCAGGCCGATGGGGTCCTGGGCGCGGTCGATCTCGGCGGCCAGGGCCTCGAGGGTCGGGTGCTGGAAGATGGCGCGCAGGGGCACGTCAATGTCCTTCCACTCCTTGGTAAGGCGGAAGAACATTTGCTGGGCGAGGATGGAGTGGCCGCCCACGTCGAAGAAGTTGGACTCGGGCCGCAGCGAGCGGGCAAAGCAGTTGGGGATGACGGCGGCCCAGATGGCGGCGAGGCGCTGCTGGGTGTCGGTGAGCTTGGGGGCGACGGAGGACGCGCGGCGCTTGGCCAGGAAGGCGAGGTCGGCCTCGTCGGGGAACGGCAGCGCGGCCTTGTCGATCTTGCCGTTGGGGTCTAGACGGGGTCAGGTTTGTGTGTAACGAAGGAGGGGGCATACTTGCGGAACTCACTCAACGGCATCCGGGCGAGCGGAATAAAGAGGCTGGGCACGGCGTACGACGGCAGGCGGCCGGCCAGGAACTTCTTGGTGTCCTCAGACAGCGAGCGGAAGCGCAGCAGCATCTGGCCAATGGACTCGTCGGGCGACGGCACGTCGAGCGCAGCGCGCGACGTGCGCGAGCGCGTGGGGCCTGCGCCGCCGCCCTGGGCCTCGAGCTCCTCGAGGTGCTGGAACCAGCGCTTGGTCTCGGGCACAAAGTAGGTGACGAGCGTGTGCTCCTCGTTCTTGTCGCGGCGCACGAGGGTGACGTTCTCGCGCAGGAAGGGGTGCTGCGACAGGTGGGCGTCGATTTCGCCGAGCTCGATGCGGAAGCCGCGGATCTTGACCTGCGAGTCGATGCGGCCGGTGCACTCGACGCTGCCGTCGGGCCGGCGGCGGCCCAGGTCGCCCGTCTTGTAGAGGCGGTCGCGCGGGTCCGGGCGGTCGACGAACCAGTTGGCCACAAACTTGGCGCGGTTGAGCGCCTGCGTCGTCGCGTCGCTGCCCAGGTAGCCGCGGGCGAGGCCGCCGGCCCGCAGGAACAGCTCGCCCTGCTCGCCCACGTCGCAGAGGCGCGTGGGGTCGTCGCGGTCGACGACGAGCAGCTGCACGTTCTGCATGCCCTGGCCCACGGGGATGATGTCCGGGAAGCGGTCGAGCACGTCCGGGTCCTCGTTCTTGCTGGGGATGCGCAGGTACGACACGGCGCGCTGGCTCTCGGTGGAGCCGTAGAGGTTGATGACGTTGGCGCCGCTGGCCAGGTTGCGCAGCTTGGTGGTGTCCTTCTTGGTCAGCTGGTCGCCGACGAAGAAGGCGTTGCGCAGCGCGCCGATGCGCGCGGTGGCGCCGCCGACGAGAATCTGGCCCATGGCCGGCGTCAGGTGCGTCACCGTCACGCGGCTCTCCTTCATCCACTCGGCCAGCAGCTCGTAGGCAATGACCTCGACGGGCGGGATGATGATCTTGGCGCCCAGGAACAGCGGCGTGAAGATGTCGCGCTGGATCGGGTCGTGCGCGATGCCCGACAGCATCGTGAAGCGGTCCTGGTCCGACAGCCCGAACCGCTCGGCCATCCACGGGAAGTAGTGCGTCAGCGAGAAGTGCCGGCCCAGCACGCCCTTGGGCCGGCCCTCGGAGCCGCTCGTGTACGACAGCGTGGGCGCCGCCTCGGGGCCGACATCGACGCCCGACGGGTCTTCGCTGCTGTAGGTCGCCGGATCCAGTGTGTCCCTGCCGCCGTCGGTGGTGTCGGCCGCGTCGGCGCGCACGCCGCCGCGCAGCTCGCCGTCGTCGCACAGCTGCAGCGCCGGGATGGACGACTTGAGGTCGAGCGTCGTCGCGACAAACTCGAGGACCGGCGCCGACAGCGGCCCCGACTCGCGGTTGGCCTTGTCGATGCAGACCAGAAACCGGGGACGTGCAATGTCGAGCAGCACCTTCTGGCGCTCCGCGGGGTACTGGGGGTCGATGACGCTGACGGTGGCGCCCGCCTTGAGGGCGCCCATGTAGGCCACCACGAGGTCGACGCCGCGGTAGGCGTAGATCATGGCCACATCGCCAATCTGGCAGCCGTGGGCCAGCAGGTGGTGGGCGAGCCGGTTGGCGGCCGCGTTGATCTGGCGGTAGGTAAAGGACCGCTCGTTGCTCTGGGAGCTCTTGGTCTCGACGACGCACTCTCGGTCGGGGTACTTCTTGGCATTGGCGGCGAAGATGTCGTGGATCGCTAGACGTAAAGAAAAAAAACACATTGTGTCAGGCAAAATTGCCGGCAGCCGAGTACGGAGCCATTGAGCCCCAAGACGAACGCTTACCTCCACGAAACTCTCCCCAATGGAGGTCAATTGTCGGATCTGGCGGTGCTGGCGCGGCCATGATGCGCAGTCTGTGCAGCCTGGCTCAATTGTGGTTGTGGTCGTGGGTATATGGTGAAGAGAGAAAAAGCAAAAAGACCAGAAAAAGAGACCGGAAACGGAGACGGGACGATTCTTAACACAAAATGCCCCGTCGCCAATTGACCAGTGGATGGCCCCGCCGAAACAGACACTGCTGCAGCTAAAAATTTCCCAAGAGCTCTTCCGTGACAGAGCGTGAGTCACGGGCAGCACTTTCCAATGGACTGCCGCTGCGCCAAACTTTTTTTCCGCCACCGGATGTGACGTGCTGTCGTTCAGCTTATAGCATGCTGATCTCTGAAATTGCGGGGTGCACTTTGCGCTTTTGGTGAGGGGCAGCTCCGTCCGTCGGGCCCAGACGACAAGACAGTATGACGCCTAAATGTACTCCGTAGTTAGCCTCGTCTCGCGTGAACGTCTCACAGAACTCCAATGGTGCACAATAAACATTCCAGCTTACACTTACATCGTGAAGATTTTGTCTCTTCATCTTTTTTAATGGACCATTGCTCTACAAAAATGTGCTGGAAACAATCACAATGTATGTGAATGTATCCTTTTCTTATTTACTCGAATAAATAAAAAATATCATATTAATAAAATGTTCAAATTGTAAATATTAAATGAATACACAAAAGAAATAAAAATAGCGATAAAGTAATAAGAAAATATAAATTGCAAGTAAAAGATCAAATAGTATATACTTGTCCAGACCAAGGTCAAGTAGCAGCGAACGCCATTCTGGAACAACATGAGAGAGACCAACTTCTCTTCCAAGCCCAAATGCCCGTTGTTCTGTCGTCTTCGACGAGACGCCCATGAAAGTCAACAAGCGCCATAGTGAAAAACACAAAGTCGTTACACGTGTAAAAAAACCAAACAAAATTCAAAATAAAAGCAAGATAACAAAACAGAATTAATAAAAGTAAAAATCAGTCTCGTCCCCTGCTGAAACTCGTCTGGCTGTGGAAATCCCAACACCTTGCTCAAACTGCAAGGTGGACAAAGCAGCAAAATAAGAAGCGAAGCACCGTATGACTCTCCCTCTCCTTGTAGTCTCTTTGAGTAAACTCGGTTTTGGGAACAATAGCTTCCGGAACGTTTCTTTCCCGGCTTGCTGCTGCTGGCCTCTCGTCTTGTGGTAAAAATCCCTAGTTACCACAAGACGAAAAGCAACATGCAAGGCCACCCACCTCGTCAGCCCGTTTTGTCTGCAAAACGTCATGCTGAGGTGTGTTCCCGTGATATAAAATGGTTGAAAGGTACAAGGCTGTGAGAAAGTAAAAGGGCCCGAATAAAAACGTTGGCCGTCTCCTGATCACGCTCGGATGTACGTTCATAGTACATCCGACGCTGATTCTGGGAAAAATATCGACCAAAAGGAGGCAAGGAAAACGTAACCCACACATCTGAACCCGATGACGTGAGGGTCTGGACAAGAGAGTCCAAGAAACAGAAGACAGAAGACAGAAGACAGAAGACAGAAGACAGAAGACAGTTAACAGAGAACAAAACAGACATCAAACCATGGCAAAAACAGCAGAATATGGAAGCGACAAGAGAGAAAAAAAAATCAAAAAATCGTCAAAGGTCATCAATAAAACAGGTATGAAGAGGGAAAAAAAAACGAAAAAGAAAAGAAAAGATCCCCACACCACTTCGCCGACGATCCGTTCCAGGATGGTCGGTTTGTATGCGGGGATATGGAGGTATCGCAGATGACTGTCATCATGCGCAATCCAGAATGAAAATATTTGATATGAGCTTTTTTTTGGTTGGTCTTGCCGTTTGGGGTGATTTTTTTTTTGTGCAGAAAAGGAACAAGTCGACTTGAAGAAACAAAAACTGTTCAGAGGAAAACAAAAAAGCCGCCTCCGACTGGGAAACTTATCAGCGAAAAAAAATGACGAAAAAAAGGATTAAAAAGTACGACTCTTAAATCGAACCGCCGAGAGGCACATAGTCAAACTCGAGCAGGTCGCTAGGAGCATACTGCTGGGAATAGCCAAACGCCGTCGCGTCAAGTTGATGCTGCTCAGACAGGAACGGGTGTGCAGTGCCTTGGGTGATGGTGGTACCCGAGGGACTGCTCACAAACCCGGACGATTCGAGACCCGACATCTCGCGGAGCAGGTAGCTTGGGTTGGACTGCGACTCGAGAAAGTGCGCAGACGACACGAGACCGCTGGCCTGAGTGTACATGGCCGACTGGTCGAGTCTCGGCATTTCAGCCTGAAGTTCGGCCGAATGAACATTTTTGAGGCCAGCTGCGTCTCCGCCGGCGGCGACGGCCAAGGCCGTGACTGCGTCCTGTGGGAACGCGAAGCCCATGCCCATGCCGAAGTAGGTGTAGTTCGGAATGTCGCCCATGTCTGTGCCAATCGAGGCGTCCATATTTCCAATGACGTCCTCGCTTGCCTGCAGATCCTGAACTTCGTTGAAGGTGTCCTCTTCTTCTTCGTCCGCATCGCCAGCCTCGGTCACAGAGGTGACCTGGTCTCCGGTGATGGTTATTTCTACCATCCACTTTTTCAGATCGTTCATCGGAGGCCAGTCTCCACCACCGTCTGCGTCTGGGTTGCTGCCGCTTCTGTCCACGGCTGATGCCGCACTGGAGCGCTTGCGCGACGTCTTCTGCTTGAAGTGCGTGCGACGGAGGTGGGCGGCCGCGTTGTAGTAAATACCGTAAGCCTTGCCCTCCTTGCAGTGCTTGCAATCACTGAGCGGCCGGATGGCTGTGATGGACGACTCGATGCCGTCCATGTGCGGGTCACGGCAACGCCACTTCTTCACGGTGGTGGAGTGTTTCGAAAGCTTGTGCCGCCGAAGCTCGTGATCGCCTCTGAACCCTTCCGGGCACAGTGTGCAAAGGTCACAAAAGAGCTTCTTTGACTTGGGCCGCTCGCGCTTGGCTTTGGTGATTTCTACCTTTGCATTGGTGCCGCTGGCAGTCTCCATGACAGAGTCGGAGGACGAGTGGCACGAGGGCACAACAGGCCTCGTGAGCGCGCCCATCTTTGGCTGGATTTGAATCTTGCTGGCGTTGTCCAGCTGCCGGCGCAGAGATGATTTCGCGCGCATACGAAGAGACGTGTTGGACCTGGCGCTGGTGCCAGAGACCGACCGCTCCATGTCCGCAGAAAAGTGTTGGGGGCCGGTGTAGTCCGAGAACGCAAAGGCCGCCACATCAGCAGGGTTCAGGCCCAGAGACGAGTAGCTGTTGAGAGTGTCGCTTCTTTCCATCACCTGTGCAGCCTCCGGCGAATAGGTAGGGCCAGGAGACGTTTCCAAGCCGTAGCTTGCTTGACCCGCAGAGAAATATCTAGAGCCAATGCCGCGAACATCGTCATCGCTGACAAAGTACGACTTTGCCAGAGAGTCCTCCGCTCCCACACTCTTGCTGTAGCTCATGGCAATGGATGATCCGGCGGCGCCGCCAAATGGGTCCAGGAACGAGCCTTGGGAGTCAGCGTGGGCCATCTGAATAGGAGCTGAGATATTGTCACTGTAGCGGTCGCTCTGGTGCCCGCTCATGGCCGTGTCAAAGGTCGTGTCTTCCGTGAGAGACCCGCAGCTGGACGGGATAGAGTGCAGAGCTGTGGCGTTGCTCATGTTGCTAAAATCCATTTGAAGAAGCCCGGCTGGGATAGATTCCATTTTCTCGCCGGCCGAGATGGGGATCTGCCCTGGGTCTTCATAGATGCCTCTGGTGCGCAGGTAGTGTGCTGGCTCCATGCCGATATCGTCGAAGCCCATATCAGCGAGGTCATGGGTGCCTCCTGGACTTGACATGTAGGACAGTATATGAGGCTGCGAGAAGTGTCTCCGAGCCAAGGCATTGGGCTGCGAACCCATACTTGGTACGACGGAATAGGGCGAGCTCAAAGAGGGGGCCATGTCGACAGAGGCAGGCGACTGCAAGTGATGAACAGGCCGAGACGTTTTAGACCGCTTTAACGGCGGCGGTTGAGCAACCGCACCGTCATAAGAAAAGTCCTATTTTCTGTCAGACAGATCCATGGCAGAACAGCAAGAGATTGTGCGTCATACCTCAGTCAGGGTAGTTGTCGGAACGCCAGCCGTGAGTCCATGGAAAGTTTGACTACTATTCCGGCTGGCCATGATATGGCAGTGACAAGGAATGAAGACGGACAGATTAAAGTGCTGTTCTGCGCGTGGGTGGTGTATTGAGGATGAATGAGGCGAGAAATAACGAGGCAGTTCTGAATGAGTGGATGTTAAGGCGAGAGCGGAGTTGGGAATGAAAACGAGAGGATGGAACGAGGCGACAAAGCCGGCAGGACAGAGTCTAATGAAGAAAAAGGATCGATCGGACAAGTAGTCGTTGGATTTGGGCAGGGTTGTTTATGTGGATGCGGTGACACATTTGAGCTGCTCAGAAAAAAAGACGGGGCAGAGACCGACTAAATAATCGGAATCGACGAGGTTTACAGACACGCAAAAAAGCACAAGTAGAAGGAGAAGGTGAGTATCACACGCTTGTGTGTGTGCATATGTGGGGGGAAGATGTAGGGAGATCAGTGATCAGAAGAAGAAGCAGTAGAAGTGGAGAGGACAACAAGAAGGAAACACTTGGGAGGAAGAGGAGGAATAGCGGAGATGTCGTAAATATGTGTGCCTGCGTGGCATGCGAGTTGTGAGATGACAGACACGATGTGCAAACATGAGCGGGCGGACAGAATGGGACTTCGTTTGGCTGAGCCGCATGGTGCCTTTGTCCGGCCTGGCGTTTTGTGGATGGCCATTCTCACCTTTTCTGTTTTCCGCAGCGGAAAAAGAAATATATCCTCATACTCTAACTTGGGAAATGCAAAGGAAGGCCGCTAGTCAAACCGGTGTGTGGGTTCGCATACCGATTTGAGGGTTGCAGGGGTCACAATATTGCCAGTTGCAGGGCACACCAGGTCACGTAAAGGTGGGTGTGAGGATGTGAGGTGGTCCAGGTGCTGCTGAAGGCGTGTACGTTGCAGCATGCCCACCACTCGCATGCACTGTGCGGTGCATTTTCTGCCTCAAACTGTTTGCCCGACGACAGGGGGATGGAGGCCGAAGGAAGAAGAGGTATGTCGCCTTGGCTCGCATTTTATTCGACGATGTCAAGAAGGCGTCTCCACCAAGAGGGCGGTTTTATGGTGCAGTTTTGTCGCGTTCTTCTGGAGCAGATTGTTGTTGGTTAGTCATGTCTCTGAGGTCTTTTAGGTCTCTTCGTTCTTCGCACACTCCGTTCTCTGTTTTGTTGGAGGGATTCGTTCTAGACTGCTGATCTCTACTATACGACATGTCTCGTACATGGGCTGTTGGTGTTTATGCGGCGTAAAGCTGCCAGGCAGTATCGAGAAGAGAGTCAACAGGGGCAAGGGGTTGGCAGTTCCGTTCGCAAATCGTAGCGGTGCGAGCACAACACAGCTGGTGTCTAACGGTCAGTCGAAGGATCATGCACCGCGGTTTGGTTTGCGGAAGCACTCTCGCTTTCGGGCTCACGTATGTTGAATGGGGTCAGCATGCCGAACTTATTGGACGCAAGACGGGCCACAGCGTCGTATGTTAAAGGAGGAAAGCATACACACTGTGGCACTCCAGAGACCTCTCCAATACGCATCCAGGCACAAATTGCGGCGCCGAGACCCGTTCCAGGGTAGGCTGGCGGTGATTTCTTCTTTTGTGTTTCCATTTTCTTTTTCTTTTGAATTCAAAGTTTCGTCGGTTCGCTTCGCACTTTGTCAGGTTCTGAGACGGGAGGCAACGATCGGCAGCGAGCCGTCAAAGTATGGGGGAGTGAGCCGCGAGTGGGCGTTGTATTGTCCTGCAGAGTGCGGCATGGAACTGTCCAGGCCTGCCATCACAGACCTGAAAAGGAGACAATCAGCCAGGCAACAGAGCTGATGATGGCTCTGAATGGGATGGCCGAAATCCGAGACATGCACTAATGCTGTCGGCGTTGGTCCCTCCCAGCGGGTGTCGAGGTGTGATGAGATGAGGGTCGAAGAGTTGCGGACAACATAGTGTGTCGCCGAAAGTCATTTTGAGAGAAATACGTTTTGACGTTGGTCATTACGAGCGATGTTTTGGGGGAACAGTCCCCAACAAAACAAAACAAATCAACCAACAGACATTTCCTCTTCAAGAAAGAACAAGCCGCCAGGCTGAGTCTCGTCCATCGTTCTTGCTGTTGATGTAGAGAGGCTGAACATCAAGTCAGGAAGTCGCGACTGACAGACTCTCTGGAAGGACGTCTCGACTCTCAACGGCTGTTGAAGGAAATATGGGTGGACTAGGGCGGGCCGCTCTGCTAAAGGTTCCTAGCGTTGGAACAGTCCGTGAGGCTAGGCCAATTCTGTCTGGGGCTGGACAACACGAAGTCAGCCGACACAGTGGGTGCGTCTTTTGATTTTGCAGTTCGAGCTGTCCCAGGTTTGCCAGGCTCCCAGGGAAGGAACCAACGGGCGTTGCAGCTGTCCCGCATCAAATTAGAGCCAATCAAGATTTTGAGGCGGCGAGACAGGTGCAGAAGACAGGAAGGAGCCAGACAGGTCTGTGAGGCCTGTCAGGAACAGGAGCGGCAGCGTTGCGAGGGGAAAAGTGGGGGCTTGGAAATGGTTGGCCCAGACTGTGCCAGCGAAAATAGGGCGACACTTGGCGGCTTGTCCACTGACAGGAGGAACAGCGCAGACTGCTGTCCGCCCCATCCGGCTTTACTGGCTGGCGGTGATGTGTGTCTCTTTTCCGCGCTTTTCCCTTACTTTCTTTCTTTCTTTCTTTTCTCTCTCTCTCTCTCTCTATTTTTTTTGGTTTATTTTATTTTACTTTTAACCCCCCCCCCCCAACATAACACATGAGAACCTACCACGGTTGCATTCTGCGCCTCTAGGCCTGCATATCAGGGGGACCGACAAGACCGAGAGGGCCGTGTAATTAAGTATTCCAGGTCACTCTTTGCCTCTTCGCCTACTGTGTGCACCCACCACGCGAGTAGCACCCCCAACCATGCCCAACCGGCGCTGCCCGTCGCGGCTACTTACACTATTTGAGGCTAGATCCGCTGTCCAGGTTAGCGCTGTTGGTGCCCAAATACGCACTGAAGATCGCTGCCCAAACTGTGCATATATGCTCCTGTCTCATTTCATTTATTTTCGGTCATTTCCTCGTCGACCGCGCGCCCTGGACTCTTCGTATTGTCACCTAGACGCACTGACCAACAGGACCAGATAGACCCATCGGCGATCGTCGTCGGGATGCCCTGACCTGGTTCCCCGAGCCGACATGACGACAATGCCGAAAGTCTTCCTGCAACGGACGACAGTACAACGTTATGATGTGTGAGCAAGAAAATGTGCCTGGAAGAGGAATGCAGCCCCCTGATGGCCTGTCTGCAGTTGACGACAGACGTTGTGCAGATAGCAGGCTTTGCCGTCTGTATGTCGTATGGCTGCAGACTGCATAGTTTCACAGCTTGTCGACTGCAGAATCTCCCGTATCGTATCAGCCATCGCCGTCTCATATCGGAGAGCGGATATTGGCAGCACATCGTTGCATAGCCCCCCGTAGCCGCCACAAACAAAAGACGGTGTAAATCGTTCTGCGGGTGCCTGACATGCTGCTTGTCATGGACGCCTTGGCTGTTCGTAACGTGCATCTCCTTCTGCTTGGTGCCGATTTCTCTTTACTGAGCATTTCTGTTGCATCTGTCGCCACATATGCCAACGAAAGATATTGGCTTACAAGGGTTGCTCTGTTAAGCTGCACTCTTACAAGAGAATCGTGGTAGACAACACGGATGTGGCCTGTTTACTAACTGTAAAGCACGACAAACGGCGATGAGCGTGAAGACTTCAAACGATGTTGACGAGCCCCAGTCACTCACAAAGTCTGCACAGGTGGACCAGACATGTGCGTCACGACACTGTGCATAGTTTCTCGCCTTGCCTGCTGAAGTAGGCGAAGCTAAGGCTGGTCGACGTGGCTGCACAAATTACGTGCAGGAAGCGTGCTTATGACGGATGCCGGCTGTACGACTCAGCAGTTATGAAGGTATGCTGTCTATGTCGGTCGCAACACCCTAAAAAAGAGAACAACGATAAACACGAAAACCGTTGTGATTTTGACGTTCGCCGTTCAACCTCGCCTTAAGCCAATATGCAGCAAAGCGAGTTCGGCAGCCGACACAAATCGGCTGTTTAGCGTCGAAAGTGGACAACAAGCGGGGCGGATCGAGCTTCCGAGACGGACCTTTGAGCTGTGCATGATATTGTCCTTTGACGAATTCTTCCGTCGAAGAAAGAAAGAAAGAAAGAAAGAAAGAAAGAAAGAAAGAAAGACAGAAAAAATAAAAGCCGTACAACGTCCAACAACTCCCCGCACCCTCAATGTCCGTCGTTCACAACGTCAACACCAGGGACGAAGAAACGCCGCTCCTCATCTCTGTGCACTCCGAACCTGCGCCCGGCGGTCCCTCGCGTCTTCCACAGCCCAACAGCGCCAGCAGCAGCAGCACCTCCGCCACCTGGCCGTGGCCAGCATGTTCTTCTGGCGTGTTGGCGCCCTGTACGGCGCCACGGCTGTCGCGCTTGGCGCGTTTGGCGCGCACGGGCTCAAGAACCGCGTCAGCGACCCGGCCAAGCTGGCGACGTGGTCGACGGCGGCGCACTACCAGCTGGCGCACTCTGTGGCGATGCTGGCGGCGCGGGGCCACCCGGTGGCCTCGTCGCTTTTCGCGACGGGCATGACCCTGTTCAGCGGCAGCATCTACGCGCTGGTGCTCGACCCGGAGCGGTTCCAGGCTCTGGGGCCCGTGACGCCGGTGGGCGGGCTGTGCCTGATTCTGGGGTGGTTGTCGCTCGTCTTTTCGCGGGGCCGGATCCAGCTGTAAGACGGCCGAGGCCCCTGGACAGACAAGCACCGCGGCATCCGCCTTGCTACGCTCCTACGGACAATCTCATGTACATGTATCTCTTCTTTCCCCTTTGGTTTCGGCATTTTTTTCTGTATCTCTCCTCTGTCGGCATTTCCTATTAACGAAAAAAAAAAAAAAAAAAAAAAAAACAAATTGTATTTTATTACAATGCTCTACATGGTTACGCTGTGCATGTAATACGCTTGTCATGCTATATGCTTTTTGCTTTTTGAAAGAAGTGAAACAGCAGAAAACGTGGGAGAGGGAGACGAAACAGCCTCACGACGTTTCGCCCTTGGGTACGTCGTGCAGGCTTCTCTTCTCGTTGCCCGGCCGATCGTGGCCAGCTGCCTGATTGCTGTCTTCGCCGGACGGCGGCGTCTCGTCCAAATCGACCTCGTTGGCCTCGAGATCTGCATGTGCACCGCCGTCTCTTGCCGCGACCGGCACCGGGACCACTCCACCGTGGCCGTCGCTCCCCGTCGCGCCCTCTTGCGCCGCCTTCTTCTTGGCCTCGCGCACGTCCGTGGGCTCCAGGCCTTTGTCTTTGACAAAGATGCACATCAGCGAACAGAGGCCGATGAGGGGCACCTGCAGCAGGAAGACGGCATGGCTGGCGGCCATGTAGGCGTCGAGGACCGCCTCCCGCGCGGCGGTGCTCGCAAAGCTGGTGGGCAGGTAAAAGGCGTTGTTGGCCAGGTAGGCGTACTCGGCGGGCAGGTGCGCCCGCAGGGCCGCCTGCAGGACGGCCGCCGCCACGGCCAGACCGACGGCGCCGCCGGTGGCGCGAAAAAAGTTGCGCACCGAGATGATGACGGCGCGGCGGGCCTTGGTGGTGTGGGCCTGGAGGGCGACGAGCGTGGGCTGGAGGGTCATGCCGAGGCCGGCGCCCACCAGCATGAGCGGCACGACGATGGCGGCGACACTGGTGGTGCGTGTGTTGAGGAGCATGAGGCCGGCGCCGCTGCAGGCAACGTTAGTATGGTCAGGAAAGCACGTTGGCATTGGACGTTGGCATTGGACAGTGAAAGGGTGCGGGTTGGGAGGGGCTAGAGCCACGTACAGCGTCCAACAAGCAAAGCCGCACCAGATGACTTCGCCGTAGCGTTTGATGCGCGACAGGTACTGGCCCGACAGGATGGAGCACGACGACTGCACCAGGACCATGGCGGACACGAACGCGGCCGATTCGATAATGGTGTAGCCCCGTGCGTTTTGGAGAAACAGCGGCAGGTAGTACAGCGAGATCTGGTACACGGCGCCCAGCAGAAAGCTCTGGACCATGAGCACCGTGATGACATGGCTCTTGAAGATTTGCACTACTGACGTCAGCGACTGCCCTTGTCAGGGGCCTTGGGTAAGGGCCGTCGTCGGGGAACATACTTGGCATCATAGGCAGCTGAGCGATGCGCAGCTCCACGACAATAAAAAACACAAACAGCAGCGCCCCGATCACCAGCATGCTAATCACCATGGGCGAGTCCCACCGGAAGTACGAGCCGCCGCCGCTCACGGGGATCAGCACGAGGATCACGGCCGCCGACGCCGACAGCAGGCCCCAGTAGTCAATCTTGCGCGCGTTCTCGCGCAGGCCGCCCTGGGGCGGGTTGGACGGCAGCATGTACGCCGCCACGCACCCGACGACCACGCCCAGCGGCGCCAGCAGGTAAAAAAAGGCGCGCCACGTCGTCCGGGCGGTGAGGCCGGCCGCCAAGAATGGGCCGGCCAGGTTGCCCAGACCGACACACGCGCCAATGATGCCCTGGTAGAAGCCGCGCTGCTCGAGGGACACAACGTCCGACACGATGATCATGCTGAGGTTCGTCACGCCGCCGCCGCCGATGCCGGCCACGCCCCGAAACACATACAGCATGGGTCCGCTGCGCGAGAGGCCGCACAGCAAGTCGGCGAGCGCCAGGCAGCCGACGGCGGCCAGGTACACGCGTTTGCGGCCAAAAATGTCCGACAGGCGGCCGTAGAGCATCTGGAAGGTGGTGTTGGCGATCAGAGACGCGGTGCCGGCCCAAGAAATGGTGTTTTGGGCATCGAGGTCGCGGGCAATGGTCGGGAGGGTGACGCTGATGCCGTTCTGGTCGATGAACGTGATCAGCAGCGTCAGGGCGAGGGTTGCAAAGACAATGACGAGCTTCTTTTTCGGCAGCAGGTCGGTCTGGTCATACAATGCCTTTTCCGCGGCGGACTGCTGCCGCGTCATCTTGGCACCGCCGATGGCCATGGTGGGAGGAGGTCTGATTGTTCAGAACATACAGTAAACTATGCTAGTAAACGTGTGGATGTCGTGATGCAACGGTGTGCGTCCGGCCAGTTCCATATGTATGTATGCAGCCCGGTCCGGCTGGTGTCCATGTATCCCAATGAACAAGAGAGTGCTGCAATGGTGGTCGATATTCGGAGCCGTGGACCGTCAAGGCAACCTGGTCTGGTGAGCTGCGAAGTTAAGTGAAAGACAAAGTAAGATTCAAAGCATCGAAAAAGAGTTGAATAATAGTGAACTTCCGGACTGGGATACGGATCGAGTGAGTCGAGACGAATGAACACAAGTTAAAAAGAAAAAGTAAAGAGCGAAACGAACAAAGGAAGAAAAGAAAACAGTGGCGTGGTCTTCCCACGGCGAAACTCCGAACGGATAACTGCCGGCAGCTCTTCGTCCAGCCGACGATCAAGACGACGCAGGATGGAGAAGGAGCAGATCGAACGCGAGTCACAAAAACGAAAAGAAAAAAGAAAAAAAAAAATCTACGAGTTACTTTCCTGGTACTGCTGATCCCCGCCGGTCTAGCGCTTGTGCGCTGCCGCGTCGTTGCTTCCGCCACCCGTGCGCCTGGGAATGCGATGCCGTCATTGCCGGACTGGGTCCGGCCATTTCCTCTGAGGTGTGGTTGCAGGCCCCAGGGCTGCGGTTGGCCTGGCTCGTATGACCGATGACCGGTGTAAGCAGTCTCTGAAGACGCACAATACCCCGTCCTCCGCCACTGGGCAGCAAATGAGAGCGGCTGATGTCGAGTACATCGTAGAAATGATTTTGATTTATTTACTTTTTTTTCGATTTTTCTTTTCTAACTCCCAAGAGCGGCCGCAAGCCGACGAGGCACTGATTGCGTTGCAGCGAACAACAACACATGTCCGTCGAATCGGATCCAGCTATGCCGCACACTTTGTACGCGACCGTTCAGTAGATGTGAGTTCTTGACATGAAAATACTTGCGGGGGATCTTGTCATCGTGTTCTTCTAGAGAGAACAAGAGTCGGCCCAACACACACCGATGACACTGGCAGTTGCAACAATAGAAACAAGATGGCACACAACGAGTACTTTGGGCGAAGACGCTATCGGCTCCGAACCGGCCTGTCCATGATCCTGGATTGTCGCGGGCTTCTTAGTGGGTACTCAGTCTCCGTTTTTAGGAGTCGTCAGCGGGGATGTTTCGCCGTCGGCATTACTGGATTTGGTCGCCGAAAATGCGTGACAAGACACTGGCAGATCTTGACTGTCGATGTCGACATGCTGACAAGGCAAAACAGACGGCCAAATGGCATGAGATGAGAGAAAACCATGATAGCATCCCTCCCCGTAAACCGACTGCAGTCGCATCTCGAAAGCGATGTTGTTTACGAGCATTGACAGTCATTCAGGAATGAAATGGCCGCTTTTGTTGGCAAGTAGCTTCCGTCTGTCAACGTGAGGATGTGGGCGACATACGACATACGACACAAGACATACACAACAATGGGGATGGATTTATTAGTTGGCACTTCAAACCCGCCTGTACATGTAAGATACATCCAGACCGCAACTTTCTTGTGGCTTGGCTCGACGACGCAGAGGACAAACTGATGGGCACGTCTTTGAGAGTGAAGCCGAATCACTGCTATGCTGTAAAACGCTCATGTGCAACATTGACACCGTTGCCAGCTTCGTCGCCATACGGAGTAAGGCTGTCGGTGCAACTGAATCGACAGTGAGCGACAGGTGAACGAGGCGTGATCGTCTAGTGCGATTTCTTTCACGGAGGTAGTAATAGTCGATGTATATGGCCGTGATATTGTCCTACGTGACCTGAACATCAATCCAGTAATTAGGCAGCGAGCATGAGCACCAAGTACCGAATAGAGGCCTCTGTGGCGCTGAAACACGGCGGGCCGTTGCCCGTGGCCAGTGGCATCGCTAATCGACGTGCCCTAGCGCCCTCTTTCCCATATACGATTTACAGGTCTCGCATATGCTAACACTGCTCTTAGCTCCTCAGCTTTGGAGGCCCACATTTCCAGCCGCCTCTCTCCACGCGACCTGCGACCAGCGTGTCTGTCCAGTAAGCACGTGCGCCAGGGACCCAATGTCGCTCAGTGCCGTCCAGTTCGCGACAAGGCCTCTGCATCGCCCGTTTAGTTGTTTACGACGAACACGTTCTGCATGCAAACTCGCCTGGCCTGTGTCTTGTTTCCTGTTTGCTGCTCGCGGAAAGCGCCATGGCAAAGCGGCCTATAGCACGTATTACTGCAAAAGCATAGGTGCAAGTACGACATACTCTTCCGCACGGTTGCGCCTTCTGCAGGCGATCGAGTTTCTCCACATTGGTGCCTCCGTCTCCTCTTTTTCTCCTCTTCGCAATCCGTCTCCTTCTCCTTCTCCTCACCTCGTTGCGCCGCATGTGTCGTACGTATCGAATAAAGAAAGAACTGAAAGGGGAAGGAGGCGATTGCTTCATCTACTAGCTCCGTCAGTTCTTGTTGGTTGGCGAAGCAGGCAGGTGCCATCTGAGCTTTCTAGTCCGCCTCTTTCCTCTGCTGACTGCCGGGTGCATCTTGAACTATTCCAACCTATTCCAACTGAGCTGATGCCCTCTCGCATTGTGACTGTTATTCGATCTCGTCGTGACTCGTGTCCTGTGTCGTTTGCGCCTCGTCGTCGATCAGCTCTGCCGTTCTCCAAACCAAAAACAGCCAAACAGCCCTGCCTCCCTTGCCGTCCAGCTCGGGCCCCTGCGTCAGCTCGCCCACCATTCGCCCTTGCCGAACCTTCTTTTTCTGCCACTTTCCTGCCCTGTCCCCGTCATCGCCTCATCTACCGTGGCTCCATGTTTTGCGGCCGCTTTCATCTCGGATTAGATTGCTCGAGCCCAATACGTATGTTTCCTCTACGACGGCGTCACATCTTCGGTCACCCGATCCCAGCGACCGTGCGTCTCCTGAGCTGCGCCATTTAGCTCTCAAGCTCTCCGGTTTCTGTCCAAGATACGAAATACATGTTTCGTTTTCGAAATTGTGCGTCTGGTGACGCTTGTTCGCGCCTTCCTTTGCTGGCTTTGTTTTAGCTCCATTTTTTCCCTTGCCACCACTTCGACTAACCGCTATTAGCGGCAGGTGCATCTGTTGGTCAGTGCTCCGTCCAAAATTTTCGGACCTTGACTTTTCCCCATCTTTTCCTTTCCAACTGCTCTGCCCTGCGTCACCCCTGGAGCTCGTGTCAACAGCTGCGAGGCAGTACGACCTCCCCGGGTGGTTCTCCAAAAAAAAAAAGTCGGCAAGTAATTACAGTGTGGCCCTGATCTGATCTGGTCCAGCTCTTCCCGCTTTCTCCATTCTTGCCGTCCAGGCTTTTTCGCTAGCCCGACCGGTTACTCCTTCCCCTTCCTTTTCTTCTTGTTTCCTCGTTACTATTACCTTGACTGTCTGGTCGTCTTCTCCTTCCTCTTACATCGACACCTCCTCCCTCGCAACTTCCTCGCGACCTCCTCTCGACACTACTCCTTCCCCGGCGACCTGCGTCGCGCCTTCCTTGTTTCACCGCCGACACACAGGCGCGCGCCCGCTCTGCCCCTTTTCGACTCCGAATGTGCACTGTAATCGACTCGGCCTGCCCCTTGCTTACGACAAAACGCGGTTAAGAGTGGAGTGCGCGCTCATTCGACGAATGTGAGACGCATACCCAGGGCCGAACAAAGTTGCAAGCACCAAAAAAAAAGAGAACAAAAGAAAAAAGGTAAAGAAAACGACCCAAAACACCAAGCGTCAGCCTCCAAAACACAGCCCAAGGAGCTGAGCTTTGCGGCAACCGATCACCCGATCATCGCCCTAGTTGTTTTTCGAGGCTACAAACTAAACCATAGCGAGGAACAAATCCACGTTCCAGCTGCCCCGTTCGTCGAGGCGGCGCCATGGACTCCCGACAGCCACCGCCTCCAGCGCCACCACCGCCACCGTTGTCGACAGCGTCTTCATCCTCGCATTCCCAGCATCCCTTTCCGCCGCGAAACAACCCATCACCACACTACGGCCGCGCAGCATACCCACCGCCTGACGCGCGCTCTCCATCGGCGCCGTCGTCTGCCGCGTACGGCGATCCCAAGGGCCAGCACCAGCCGCATCCTCATCAACCACCCCATCCACCCCATCCACAACATTCACAGCACTCACAACATCATCAACCGCAACCCAGCGCCCATCGACGAGGGCCCTCTGACTCCTCCTTTTACGCGCAGTCGCGCTCCGCGTACCCATCGCACCCGGCCGGGCCCGACGTGGCCAGTCCCAGCGCCAACAACCCGCCTACCCATTCCGTCGCCAACCACGCCCGCAACCCGAGTGCCCCATCGCTAAGTCGCGCGATGCCGCCACACTCTGCCTCGCCGCCCCTCCGCTGCAGGGCAGCGGCAGCAACAACGGTAGCCCTGGTGGTCCTGGTGGTCCTGGTGGTCCACCGCCGCCGCCGGGCCATCACTCGCCATATACACTGCCTCCACCACGCGTCGGGTCGTCCTCCTCGGCGTTTCCGTCTGTGCGCGAACTGCCATCACTCTCGTCCCTGCCGCGCACCGGCAGCTCGGGCAGCTCAATGTCGATATCCTCCATGCTGGGCGGCCCGTCCATGGGCCACGCGCGTGAGCAGTCAGGGCCACCGCCGTATGGCCCGCCACCGCCGCAACAGCCCTCGTCCGCAGGGCCCCCGGGAAGCGGACCTGGTTCTGCCTACGCGTCGAGCATTCACGCCTCGCCACGCATGCGCTCGGCAGCCAACGACTACAGCCCCTACCGCCGACCGCAAACGCCTCCGGACCACCAGCGGCCCTTCGACGCGCGTGATCCGCGGGACGGACGCGATCCTCGAGACACGAAAGGCCCCATCGCCGCCTCACCCCAGCAAGCCGGCATGTACGTCACAACACCCGAAATGCCGCGCTACGGGACCCCCCAGTCCTATGCGCAGCCCCAGCGTGGCCCACCGCCACCCAGCGATCAGCAGTCGCGGATGGCTGCCAGCATACCGCGCCCCAACAGCCAGCCCAAGTCCTATCCGCGCGGCCCGCCGCCTCCTGGCGAGCAGCAACAGCAGCCGCAGCAGCAGCTCCAACAGCACGGGGGTCCGCCTCTGCCGCACGCCGACGCCATGTACGGCCGCCGCGACGAGCACCGCGGTCCACCTGTGCCGGACTACAGCCCTGACCAGCGCAGCCGCATGTACAAGTACGAAGACCAGCACCCGCCACACCCGCCGCAACACACACTACCTTACTTGTCCGAGAGAGAACGCGAACGGGAACGCGAACGGGAACGCGAACGCGAGCGGGAGCGCGAGAGAGAGCGGGAGTGGGAGCAGCGTGAACGCCAGGCCCGGGAGATGGAGTTTCGCGACCGTGAGCGGCGAGACCGGGCCAATACCGGTGGATCGGATCCTGGTGGTTTCCGCCCACCTCCCGGTGCGCTCGGCCCCGACTACAACGCGCAGAGGCACCCGCAGCAAGGCGGCCCTGGCCTTCCTCTGTTTGGCCGTCCGCAAGATGCTCGCGAACCCTCACAAGATCCACGTGACCTGCGCGACCTGCGCGACCTGCGCGACCCCCGCGATGCTCGCGATCCACGTGAACCCCGTGGCGACCCCCGTGGTGACCCGCGCGATCCGCGCAGCGGCCAAGCCTCCTGGCGCCCACCGTATGATCAGCAGGGCCGGCCGTACGAACATGGCCGATCAGGCGAGTACCCAGCCTCGGCCGGGCCCGGTCACAACCAGCCACCACCACCGCCGCCTCCACCATCGCAGTACCCTCCTCACGCGCCGCCGGCACCCGGCCAAGACCGCTACCCTCCGACATCCCTTCCTCCCTCGCATCATCCCTCGGGTGGTCCGTCGCCATACGAGTCGCCTGATCGAAACCGCATAGGCCTCGGCCACCCGCCGGGTCCGCAAGGAGGACCCCAGGCGCCGCCTCCGCCGCAGCACCAGCACCAGCACCAGCACCAGCAGGGACCTGTGCAACCGCAACCGCAGCTGCAGCAACAGCAACAACAGGGTCCTCCGCGCTTCTCCGTGCCACCACGACCCCGCCCAATGGACGACGCACCGCCACCGCCTTCGGTTGCGTATAGTGCTCGTGGTGCTGGTGGGAATGGCGGCCCACCTCCTCCTCCGCCTCCCCCTGGATACGACACGGCCCCGCCTCGCCAACGGTCTGCAGAAGAGGCCGCACACCACCCACCGCGGAACCTACTGGCCATCCAGGAGATGAACCGCCGCGGTCGCGTGTCCCCACTGCCTCGGGCGGTCCAAGGCGCCCAATCACAAATTCACGGCCCTGCCGGCGAACCCTCCATTAAGAGCGAGTTTGGCCGCATGTACGTTGGCATTGGAAACGGCGTCGGCATGGGCCTCAGCAGCCCCATCACGTCCGGCGCCGCCTTGCCCTTCTCCAACGGAAACGGAGGTCCCACCAGTGCGGACGGCGCAGCCCATGACGCTTCGGCTGATGCGCCGACCAAGCCGGCCAAGGGCAAGCGCCGCAAGGTCGCAAAGGATGACCCAGCCAAGCTTGCCGGTATCGAGGACGATGGCAGCGGTCGCGGCACGCCCGCTGGCAAAACCAAACGCACAAAAACGGCCCACCACCATCACCAGTACGTGCCAAGCCCTCTTCTCTTAGCCGTGCCTTCTCCCACCTTGGGTTATGTTTACTAACCTTGCCTTTCTCTTTCTAGTCACCATACCCCCCACCACCACCACCACCATCACCCTGACCAGACCATTTCTCCGTCGACCGCTTTGTCCGTCCTAAAGAATGGCAAGGGTGCGACGCCTGTCCCTCTTCCTGCCAGCGTGGCCGGCCCCTCTCGCGACTACAACGCAGCCCAGATTCCTCAAGCCGTGGCCCGACCTGCCTTCCAGCAACCCCATCAGACATCGCCGCCGCAATATCCGCAACACGCCCCGCACTTGTCCCCAACCAATCCACCCAATGGTGCATTTGCGCCCATCCAGGCGGCACCTGCCGTTGTCAAGCCGAAGCAGATCGTTCTCTCGCAGGCGGTCGTCGATAGTGTGGCCGACCAGCCGCGCAACTACCTCGGCGACGTCCTGTACGAGCCCAAGCTCAAGGCCGCACGCAAGTGCGATCCTCTCACCGGCCGACCGCCGCGCTACCCGTACTCGACCACGCCGCGCCCGCTGCCCCTCGATATGATCAAGGACAAGGCCAACAGCATCTTGACGGTCAAGGTCAACAAGCTCTTCTTGGCGTCCGCCGCCCGTGAAGAAATCACCCACCGTCGCGCCCTCTGGGGCACCGACATCTACACCGACGACTCGGATGTCGTGGCCGCCTGTATCCACGGCGGCTGGATCCGAGGCGAGTGGCCAGACGATGTCGACGTCGACATGCTGGGCCTCGCCGAGCAGGCCGACGCACTGGCTGGCGGCTCCGGCGGCTCCGGCGGCTCCGGCGGCAGCGCAGCGAAAGAGACGACGAGCCGCAAACAGCGCGCCGCCGCCGCCGCCGCCCTGGAGCAGGCGCGCAACCAGCCCCTGCCCGATCTACTAACCGCGCCGCCCAAGACCGGGCCCATGGACATCCCACCCGGCCGCGACCTGCACGTGACTCTCCTCGTGCTGCCCGCCCTCCTCAAATACGGCGCCACCACCCGCTTCGGCATCCGCAGCCGCGAGTGGGGCGGCCCGCCGCACGAGCCGCAGCACCAGCCGCACGACGGCATGAGCTTCAAGGTGCTCAAGATCCGCTGGGTGGTCAACGGTGCGGGCGCGCAGAACCGCCTGCGCGGGAAAGCACGGCGCGAGCGCATGCGGCAGGCGATGCGCGAGGTGGATCTGTCGGCGTCGCAGAGCGAGGGCATCAAGCTGGGCTTTGGATTCGGCGGCGGCGCGCCTGCGGGCGACGATACCCATGTCGGAGCTGGTGCCGGTGCCGGTACCGGTGCCGCTGACGCCCAATGGTGGCGTCCTCCCCCGCGCAAGGCAGAGGCCGGCGACGGTGACAAGGAGAACCGTCCTGGTTCGACCGAGCGCGGCGAGACCGCAGCCGCGGTTGCTGAGACGAATGGCGACAAGGACCGTGTCGCGGCCGAGACGGATGCCGTGTCGACTGCGGACGTGGCTGTACCCAAGGGCGACGATGCCAAGCCGTCGGATGCGACGTCGGCAGACCAGGCAACCCTTGCCAAAACGGCTACGGACAACGACGGCACAGCGGCGTCGGGCACAGACGCAGCAGCCGGCGATTCTGCGGCCGCGGCCGAGGACCCCGACACGACAATGACGGATGCTGGGATGGACGACTAGGAGAAGTTCCTCTACCTCAAGACGTTGGAATTCACGGGGACGATCCTCTTTTGAGCGGCGTGTTTATTCGATTTTGTTCTTTGTTCGTTGCATGTTTGTCAAGGCGGTTTTCTCGTGGGCACGAGATGGTTGTGCGGTGTGCGATGTTTGTATGGCGTGTAGTTTGTCTTAATAGTTTCTTGTATTGTCGTTTTCTCCTCCGTGCGTCACTCCTATTCAGCTCCGTTGTTTAATTCCAAAAGCGAGAAATTTCCTGTTGCCTGAATTGTCTTCTATTACGTATAACCACACCCTCTCCACACACGTATCGTCTTCGTCTACAATGTCACAATGTCTCAAGTCACAGCTCCGTATTTTAATATCCGTCGGATCGTATGCCGTTAAAAGTGAAATGTCCATTCTATGCAAGTCCTATCGTACAGCCATCATAAGCTCATATATCCATGCCATATTCCCCCACCGCTGCCCCTAAAAGTCGGTCACCCGCCCGTTGAAGCTCCAGTCGCCCGAACTGCCCCACCGCAACGGCTCGTTCTTCGGGCCGCCCACCTCGCCCGTCTTGGGGTTCCGGTCGCCGTCAAACTCGGGCGCCGCGCCGCGCCACACGCCCTCGATCGGGTTGCCGTTGAGCGCCGACGAAGGTGTTTCGGTGGCAGGTTTCGCCGACGCCGCTGAGGCCTCCGCCTGTGTCTCGCCCGCTTCCGCAGCAGCCGCCGCCTCTTCCGCCGCCTTAGCGTTAGCCGCGGCGACCGCGTCCGCCAGCGACGCAGCCGCCGCCGACTCCTGCGCCTGGCGCACCAGCTTCTCAAACTCGGCCTGCTGCTCGGGCGGCAGACGCGGCGGCGCCGGCTGGTCGTCCCATGCAGACGAAAAGGCGCGGAGGGCTATTGTTGCCGGCGCGCGGTGAACCGAAACACTGGGGATACGGAAATGTGCGGTAGTGCGGCGCATGGCCGCAAAGCGCGAAACGGGCAGCATGGCAATGTCGTTGCTGTGGTGCTAAGGACAAAGGCTAGCGGGAGCGTAATTGGAAATGGCGTTGCGACGAGCAAGTGGTTTATACAAAGAACCCTATGCGTTGCCGTCGTTATCGACGTGATTGTCGTTGTTATAATAGTATCGTAAAGCAGTGCCACAAGTCGGACCGTTGTCGGATGTGCGAAATGCTGAACCTCGGCGTCGGCGATTGGCAGTTGAATGGCGAAGAAAAAAGGGCCGGATGGCTTACATAATGTTGAATGGATTGCTGGTTTGCTGGTTTCCTGCGGGTCCTCGTCCTGTATTCGTCAGGTTTTGGTGTAGCCAACGGCTAACTCTATAGTGGGATGCTACTCTGCGAAGTGCTCCTTTGCTCCTTTTGTGGGCCTGGCCAGTTCACGGCACGATATCGCGCCACCTGTTGCCAGCGACCTCCAGGACGCTCTTTCCAGATAGGTCGACGATGCTTTGGAAAATATGAAGGCACTTGCCCAGTCCAGCCTATCATGGAACGCAAGGAAGGTGCAACCCACAGAAGTACGTCGTAACGAATCTCTATCCTGTACAACACATATCCCTGGCAATAAATGGCGGCCGTCGATCATTGGCTGCTTGACATGTTTGCGGCTCAAAGATCATGGTAGCCTAGTGAAAGAGTAAATCATTCTCCCAAATATGGGCAGCAACTGGCCACAAAATATGATGCAAACATCACTGCAGTCCCTGGAGAAGGAAAGTGCGAGCCGGCACTTGAGGTTGCGTACCCGCTCTTGCCGCGGGAACTCTGACAAACAGAACCCAGCCGGTCGCAGTTGCCTTTGGTGGTCAACTGACGATGCAGAAGCAAAAGGCACGAAGGAGCGACCCATTCTCATCCGCATGCACAGTACAGAAGGCCGTACTTTTCACCACGACAAACTCCAATGTCCTTCCGCTTCTTTATCGCCAACGGTTAAACGCGTTCGCCAAAGAGTCCCCTCTCTATCTTTGAACACTTGTGTTTCCCTCCAAACAATGTCGCCTTTCAGCTACACACGACGTGTGGATCGCATGCTGCCCAGGGCAGTCTGCTATCGACCCGTTGAGTCGCATTTTGCCAGACGAGGTCAGAGTTCTGGCCTCCCACGCCCTCGCTTTGCGGTATGTTCAACCTTTCCATGCTTTGACAGAATGGTTGATCATTTCACGGGTTTCTGCTGCTTGCATCTCGACGAAACCCAGAGGAGGATGAGGTTTGACCACTAATGTGAGCAGAAATCTCAGCCTTCTCTCGGATCACACCCCACCCACAGTTGACCACGTCGGCGCGCATTTGCTTTCTGCAGGCTGCTGATCTGCAGACGAAAGCAAGGCAGCTAAGACTGGGAGTGAGGCCACGACAGCCAGCCATAAAAGACCAAAGCATCCTTTTTGGCGGTCCGAAATGGCGCCTCTCATGTAATTACGCCGACAGTCGTACAAGGGTCGCGCTGCCGTGGTGTCTTTTTGCCAGACGGGAGACGTATCGCTGGACATTCACAGTGAATCCGAACAAGTTCCTCCTCTGAGGCACATACTTCCATGCCATTTTGGCGACGATTATTGGGTGACAATATACCCAGTGGAAGGGTGGAATGAAGAGCTCAAGTCACATGTCCCAGGTTGTGCCTATGAGCATCTGCTGCTCGTCATTCTGATTGATGCCACCAATAACAGCCGATGCCAACACCACCACCACCACGACCGAGCAAGAAGCAATGAGCCGCACGTTTCGTTGCATCCTACTGTCCATTTCATTCCGTGCCTTTATTCACTGCCCCCTCTTTCCATCCGCTACTCCCCCCCTTTGGCCTGCTCTCTCAGTTGTGAAACCAAAAATCCCTCTTACGGTCGCCGTCATCGCACTTTCTTTCCCTTCCTCCTCTAATCGCACTTCTTTCAGATGTGCTTATGTGTTGCCTTTCCATTGCTATTGATAGTTTTATGATATCGCGTGTGCATTTACAGGCCAAGAACGTTGTCTCATATCCTCAAACCGCTGGTTGCTTTCCCGCCCAGTCATCTGTTCCGTCTACTTTAGCATCCTTTGTGATTTGGAGTGGCAGCATCCAGCTCACCTTATCTTGCGGGTTCTTTTTTTCCATTCTTTGCACACAGCTCGCTCTGTTGCAACTGCCTGTGAAACTGTCCCGAATCCAGACCTGCTGGTTCAGAACAAGGGTGGTCGGCGTGCACCAACCTCGCAGCGTTTTTGGTTACGCCTCTCGTTCCAAGAGAGTTAACTTTACACTCCGGTGCTTATTTAGTCGAAAGTGTCTAGCCAAAGATATTCGGATTACAGTCTGGTTGCTTCATCAACCTTGGATTTCATCCCAGAGAGTCCCTCGTCCGAGTGGACATCCTACTAACAAGCTGCAATGCACGAAGTTGCCTAAGACAACAGAGCAGCACCTCTTGACACCTCGTTGGTCTTACCGTTTTGTTTCGGTTGGTCGACAAGATCCTGTCACATCCTACAGCTCTTGATCGATATGGATTTTCTTCCGCCCGTGGGTACCGGGCCATCGTTCTTTCTCGTGCCGGACAACCATAACGCACAAAAGGTCATCAACGATCCAAACAACGCTGCGTACGTGGACGAGAAAGATGGGGAACCTGCGCTGCACCTGGATTTTACCGGCTTGGTCAACGACAAGATTACCCTCGGTCGGTCAAATTGCACAATCACGCTTCCAGACCACTATGGCGCAGGCATTCAACGACGCCACTGCTACTTCCGGTGCAACTCGTCGACCGGTGCCGTCATCCTCAACGACGAGTCCTCAACCCGAACTACACTTGCCTACGATCAGGATGCGGACTTCAGTGTTCCCATGTCGCAGGCCATGAACTCAGTCGTCGTTACGAGACGGTTCAACCGGAACATTGCCATCGGGAATCGAAAATACTACAAGTTCAAATTGGTTTGGGACGGTGACGAACCCGTGAGGAATTTTTTAACACAGCACCCGAACCAGTTCGGCCCCGAGTCGTTCGATACAACCAAAGCACGCTACATCCAGGGCCAGGTTCTGGGGATGGGCGGCTTCGGACTCGTCCGCAAGGCAGTAAACATCCACAGTGGACACGCCATGGCTGTGAAACGATTCTACAATCTCGAAGGGAAGGGGCATATCATGGCAATTCGCGAAATCAACAACATGCTCAAGCTGTCCTCCAACAATGCAAAGAAACACGTAAGTTGCCGGTTTTCTTCAATGTCCTCCCATCACAAAAACTGTGTCAGCATAGTTTGCGGTCTTCGCTCAGGCGGACAGAGCTAACGTAACCCGGCTCACCAGGACCATATCCTTCCCATTCTCGACGTCGTGTACGACAAAGAACAGTATCGGTGGATTGAGATTTTCATGCCTCTACGAGACGGGTCCGTCTATACTCTTATTGAAGAAGCAGACCGTGCGCTGTCCGACGCCCAAATTGCAGAGCAGGTTCTCTATCAGATGGCAAAGGCGCTCAAGTTCATGGCTAAATACAAGATGGTCCACCGCGATATCAAGCACGCGAATATTTTATACGAGACTCGCATGCAGCATGATGGCGTCACACCATACTATCACTTCCAACTTGCTGATTTCAATCTGTCCAACGAGTCGGCCCAGGCGCGGACATTTGCTGGTACCCCGGTGTTCATGGCCCCGGAGGTTTACGATCGTCAATTGCAATCGTGTACAGCAGACATTTGGTCACTCTTTGTCACGATTGTATGGATCTACAACTTTGACGGGTTCCGGACATATTCGGCAGACAACGGCTTCGAGCTGCGTGATAAGATCACGGGGATTGCCCAGCATGAGCTGTTTCAACATATCCGTGACATGGCAATCCAAGACCCGAGTCGCCGGGTGTCCGCAAGAGAGCTTGTGGCTCGCCTAGAAGGTACTTCGACGTCTGGCAGGGCCGACAGGACGATGGGCACCGGGCTGCATGACGATGGCGACGGCGCTTATGGCTACGTTCCGTACATCACAGACGATGTTGCCCAGAGCTTTTCCAACACCTTTGGCTCGTCCAGCCGGCAATCGATGATGAGCAGCAGTGCCATGAACGGCTTTTCGGCTATGGCCGAGTTTTCTCTCGCTGGTGGCACCATGATGCCAAATGTAAGTTTATGAGACCAACAAACCTCGGTGAGTAACTTGCTAACGGCGTTTGTTTTCTCCTTCATCAGCCTTACCAAAACGGCCTCATCGATGAGCATTACGAGTACACCGACCAGTTCCCACGCAATGAAGAAGTCGAACTTGACGCAACGGCGGGTTTCGCCGAGTCGAAAGTAGAAGACGGCGAAGACGAACCCGGATCGGGCGACGAAGACCGGCACAACAAGGGCACGGAGGCGGAGAGTGCTACACCGACATATGCCTTTACGACAGACTGAGTCGAGTGACTTGCTGCGATCTTATTTATTTTCCAACTCTTGTCCTGTTTTCCTCACCACGTTTTCATATGCACAGTTTTTTAACGTACGTTTCCATTAGCTTTCTTTTCAAGCATCATTTCCCCTCTCAGTCCTGACAGAATTGTCATCCTCGTGCTGTTAATGCAACTTTGTTAAAGCTGTCTATTGCTCATATTTCCTTGCCATATTGTCTTTTCATTTAACGACCTGTCACGATAAATGCTGTGCAAGTGTTGCTTAACACTTGCCAATACGTTTTTTTCTTTCAAGTTAAATTTATTTCATAATTTTCCAACCTATTTTGCGGTGCTGTCTTGTTTTATTGTTGCTCCAGTTTTCTTTTATTTCTGTCTGTTTTACAAGTATGGTATTACCTTAAACTCTGCATTTCATATTTTACAGTAGTGTTTCTTATGCTTTTATGTATTTAACTTCTCGCCTGGGAGTAAGATGACTTTATAGCAATCAATTTTTTTTTTTTGCTCATGAAATAAAATCACCCAAATGGAATTGTCTGAACTGTGTCGCACCCGCCACTTTGTCAACGTAGAGATCTTTAAGGAAAAAAAAAGTAAATAGAAAAGAAAGAAAAGAAAAGAAAAAATACCACGTTGTTGATTTGTGGCGGCGGCTGTGCAGGTGCAGACGTCGATGTAACTCGAGTCACGACGAGACCTTTTTTTGATAGGTTATGTTTAGTCTAGCAGAGTGCTGTCGACGGAGATTTGTTTGCAATATCTTGGGATCAAGCTATTTTGGGAATCAGCTTGCCTTGGAGGCGGTACGAACGGACGAACGGAAACGTGCAAAAAAAAAAAGACAAAAAACTGTCTTGGCAAACAATCCGACACGTAGAGTTGCAGTGGTGACCCCAACGACACATCATGCCGAAATGGAACCTCGAAATCAAGGAAGCCGTTCAGCTGCTGTGGCGTTGATCACGATGCAGTCACTGACAGCTGTCAGACAGCCTCAGCAGCCACACAAGACCGCGTCGGACCCGTTTTCAAAAATCGTCTCGGACAACATGGCCGACTTTTGTCCAGTCCCAGGTTCTGTTTTGCACAGCCACGTAAATTCGGCGTGTCAGTGGAGGACGTTCTTCGAGCCCCAAGGGGGATGCCACGTCGAAAAAAAAGGACACACTGTACGGCGCTTCGTCGTACAAAGTAATTTCAATGCAACAGGCGTGTTGCAACCCTACGTCGGCATGCTTTTCGGACGGACAAGGGGGGTGTCGATGGCGCACGGGCGCAGTGGCACAAGTACGACGTACGAGCGCATCGTCGTCCAGGTTTGTATGCGCAGGTTTTGCCGAGTCTCGATGACCTGCATCGCAACAGGCCAGGCCACGCAAACCTCCGCGATTTGTCTGGGCACCATGGGCACGAAGTGCACGCCTTATTCTGGTAGGACTGTAGCTGGACGCTTTTATATTTTGTATTACTGTATATATATACATATAAAAATTGTTTTAGTTTTGCGTTCCTCTTTTGCTCTTTATTCGCGCAGTACGGCTTCATCCTCTGAGCTGTGGGGATTCTTTGTTCACGCTGTGGTCGGGCGTCGTGCACAGCCGCAGTGGACATGTTCTGCGCTTGCCATCTGGGAAAGGAGCAAAAGACAGAGAGAAGACATGCAGGGCCTTTCCACATACACATTTGTCTATTTGACATTGTCTATACCACAGTCCTCTGGCGGAGTGTTGCGTTCAATTCCGTGGACTCCAAGGACTAACTAAGTATGTCTCGCCATGATGGACGTTTATTTCCTTTGTCAATATCCTTTCGAGACAGCCACGTGCTGCTGGGCCCTTCCTCGCTTTCTACTGTATTTCTGCTTTTACCTGCGTGCATATGTAGCCTGTATGGAATATGCAGTATGCAGTATGCAGTATGCACACGTACGGCGGAGTACGCCGCAAAGCATGCTTGTGTTCTCACATCTGCATTGGTATACGGGAAGCAGCTCTGCTCCTCCTCAGCACTGTCGACAAACAGGTCTGCCGTTGCAGCACAAAGGCCATCGCTGCTTGCTGGCCTTGTTTATTTTTGTCGGAAGGAATCAAGCCAAGCCAGGCTTGGCGGGACAAGAGCTAACAAGTATCAAAAAGTATCAAAAAGTATCAAAAAAATATCTTACGATGCAGTGCACATAGATGGAGCCATGCAGCGCACAACGGCTGCGCCATGGCGCATCCGTCCGGCTCTTCTTTTCTTGGCTCCTTGGGCTGCGCGTGCGTTGCGAGTGCACATGTCCTGTTGTCCACGTACGCAGGTCGGAGCACAAGCTATTTTCTCACGGGATTACAGAGTAATTCGTAATTCGTAATTCGTACTTACGCATGGTTGTCATACGCGGTCCGTTGTTTGCCCAGCAGCCGCGGTCCGGCAGGCAGGAAACGCCTCCATGCCGATCGCCGTTAGATTGTTTCAAAGAGGCAATCCCATGTCCGATTTTTGTTCTGTCGTCAGTCTTCGTCTCGCTACGGGGATCGCTGGGTCGTTTACCGGGTTCCACTGGGTTCCGCTGGGCAGTTGGAGATCCAAAGGGACCTTGTTAGGATTTGAAGATTTTGCTCAGATCGAACGATCCTGTCTAGCTTTCTTCAGAACAGCCCGTTATGTTTTGCCGGGGAAGTGTTGGGCATCTTCGCCGAGGGAACGTGTACAAAAGCACAGTAGAAATGTCCTTCTTGTCTTGAAACACTAATGTCGAAATCGTGCAACACGACTCATTTCGGAGAATTGTCGTGTGAGAACAGGCCTGTGCGGAGCTGTAAAAAAAAGAGTAAAAAAAAAAGAACGGGCCTGTCGGCTTCTAGAAAATTTTTTTTTTTTTTTTTCGTCGCACGATCATTTGTTGCCCATGCCCGGTCCTTTATTTTTATTTTTTTTGGATATAAAAACGAAACCAGGCTCGCCAGGGTACAGCTGTCCCGGTTCTTGTTTCCATCTTCGCTGAAGAGTGGAGTTTTGGGTCGTGCAAGTGGAGTGACTCTTTTTGTTTTCTTCTTGCAAGTCGGATGGGCGGGCATCTTGCAAGTGAAGACGGGTGGCGCGGCGGGCTCGGTGGATCCCCGCCGTTTGCCAGTGGAGGCCGAGGGCTGAGGGATGCTGAGAGGGCAGTAATTACAGCGTACGACATAATTACTCTTCAGCGAGGCGGTGATGCGTTAGCGTCTTGGAGTCCGCTAGAGGACAGGATGAAACGGCGGCGGAACCAGGCCCTGGGACGACAGCAGACCAACCAGAGGCAAAAAGAAAGGGGGAGGCGATACGGAGCATTTGACAGCGAGACAGTCTCGACAGGGCCTCAAAGGGCATGCTCCATGGCCTGGCTCGCGTGGTTTTTGTGGGTTTGCCACTCTGCCGGGATTTGGTCGGAAAGGCGGCGATGGAGAAACAATTGATGGTCAGACAAAAGGACGCCAGGACACTTGTCGACGGAAGAAAGCATGCGCCGAGACTTTGCAAAGAGTCAAATCGTACAGCGGCGGAGAGCCAATGGCGATGAGCGATATCAAGATATGTAAAGGACCAGAGAGGCCAGAGGACAGAAAGAGAGCAAAAAGTGTGTGACATCACACAGCATCAGCCTGCAGGGCGTATGACCTCGCGTTCCAGCGGCAGCGTGGATGCAGCGGGGGTGCACAGAGGATTGCGCTGCGTTCGTCAACTGCTGCGTGTATGTCGCACGTCGCACGTCGTCGAAAGCAAAAGAAGCAAACGCGGCTGCTGAAGTAGGATTGGGGGCTGCGGTTGCCGCGGGTTGGCAGGATGGAGTGGTGGTGTGTCGTAGGGAGATAAGACGGGCATAAAGTGGAAAGGGATGTGAAGAGACACGAGCGGGAGATGCTCTTACGGCTGAATTCTTACACAAGATGCAAAACAAGGTGCGGCAGGCCACCCAGGAGAGGGAGAGGCTGGCGATGATAGTAAGAGGTAAGAGACAAAGACACGAGGTGCAGACACAAAGGAAAGACCACGGAACTGAAGCCGGAACCGAACCGGCCGGCGCATCTACTCACAAAGTAGCGATGTTGACACGATGTTGACAATACAACACATTCGCCCACATCTACACATAGACGCCAAAACACAAACACTTGCCGCGGCTACTTCCCTGGCCGGTGTAATCGTCATCGAACCGCACGCCGCAGAGCATCCCGTGGGCTTCGCTCTCTTGACTGTTTTCTTCCTCTGTCCCCATTGTCAGTCTATGGTCGGCACCAAATGGCAGGCCAAGGAAACGGGACGGGAGGTGTGGGTGGGCCAGCTGGAGAACATCGTGGCACGGATGCAGGTGTGAAGGTTTCTTCGTCTTGACGTTGACAAGTACGAAATACGCAGTTGTACGCTGTACGTCGTACGAGGCATGGAGGCCATAGTGCGCCGTATGCATGTCGTAATGGAGTCGTCGACGGCGTCGGAGAAGGCCGAAAGGGGAAAACGGCCACCACAGACAAGGGCCAAAACAGGGCCGCGACAGTCCAGTGCAGAGCTTGAAGCTTGGTACAGGGTTACATTCGACTTGGAGACGTCTTGTTCTTTTTCTTTCTCTTCTCTTCTGCAGTCTGAATCTCGGCCGTCTGGTTCTTCTTGTCCGTCGTTGACACAAAATGCCCTCACGATTGTCTCTGTTTCGATCGTTGGGCATGAAGACGAATCCTCAGTGTCCCCTCCCCCTGTCCTCTTTCTCATCCCCTGCCTGCGTTGATGTCGTCTCCTTTTCTTACGTTCTGTGGATGCGTTTGCAGCAAAAAAAAAAGTCGATTACTCCACGGACAGGGACAGGCCTGCCATCTGCTCGTCATCCTGTCCCTGTCGGCATCCAGGCCCATACTCCCCTTCAATATCAGACACACCCATGTCGATGCTGTTGGTCCCTTTTTTTTTTTTTTTTTTTTTTTTCCTCTCTCTTTCTTTCTCAAATTCAGCCATCCACGCACATCCTTGTCCCTCCCCTTCCCAATTCCACGTTGTGCATACCCACTTTCTGGACGTCTAGCCCGAGCAACCTGTACATCACTGGATCACTGGACATGCCTGTGTCGCTGGGGCCGCCGAAGCCTGAATTTGCTGGGATGCTTGGAACGCTGGTGGTGTTGGGTCGTGTGGTGATCGGCAATTCTAGAACCGGCCATACAGCTGTGTTTGTTAAGCACGGGCAATAGGCAAACAGACGCAGTCAATACACGGTAGAGTCAATACCAGAATCACATCACCGTCGCCGTCGACGGGCAGCCGTCCACAAAAGTTTCATATCGATCCCTCGTCTCGCCTAGTCAAGGAACATGCTCATAACCATGGCCAAAATGGCTCACCTATTTATTTTATAATATTGCATTTTTATAATCTCAAGTCTTGTTTATTTCTCATGGTCCCTCCTGTGCCTCGGAAGTACACCTCGATTTCTACTCCGGCCCCATGCCATGACCATGCCATGCCATCTATCCAACCCCTGGTCCTTCATGCTGTACGTTGAAGTGGTGTCTATCCGCCCAGGCAAGATGACATGGACCTTGTCCTACAAGACATGCAGAGGGCCAGGAACGGCAATCTGCTCTTGAAAAGTCTCTGAAGACGCCACAACGGGTTTCCTTGCATCCGCGACGCAAAGGTCCAGCTCGCTTTCCTTTCTTTCTTGTCCATTCATCTCTTTTTCATCTTCACTCTGCCTCCTCTTCGTCTTCAACCGTCTCACCCTTACGATCGTGCATCCTCCGCCCTCACCCGCCTCTTACTCCACCTCTGCCCAATACCCACCGTTTAAACATTGGACTGGCACCCCTGCGCATGGATGCATGGATGCATGGATTTGCAGCTCACGCACCCTGAGGCGTGTGTTCCGCCCCGTTCCACTTTCACTTTCCGGTGCCTTGTGCTTCTCGAATTTTCGACGTTTTGACGTTTTCACGTCCCTTTTGTCTATGACGCTGGCATATTGAGAATTTTCTCCAGCGTCCCGACCAGCAGCATTGCAACACCTCGCGGCCGCGTTCCTTTACACATCCGGCACAGACGTTGCCAAAATTCGCCCGAAATCACCGCTTTTATTATTTATTTATTTATTTATTTTTTACTTTCGTTTTATTTTTACTTAATTTTTATTTCACTTTTCCCAAGGCCGACAACTACAAAAGTCTCTTCCTCTGCATGGATACATCTTATAGTCTTCTCACCTTCTCATCATTTGCCTTTCTCTCTTCTTTTGGCGTCTCACCAGATAAACAACCGTTCATTCGATCCTTACAGCTTTCCGCTTTTCTCTCGTTTACGCCCCACAACGCAAGCTTTCCGGTACCGCGAAGACGGACTCTTTTCTGGCCTCAGCTACCAAGCTACTCGGCCTCAACTGGACCATCGCCCTGTGCACCGCCGACCGCCGTGACCTGAAAGAGGAGCAACAACGCCGACGGAGAAGCCACGCCCAAGTCTAGAACGAAACCGAGCGAAATAGAAATACCTTGACCCTAGACAAAGTTCAGGCAACCGTCGCAGCGGAAAAAGAACTAAAAAATAAATAATAAAATAACAATCGAAAAAGAGCAGGGATCGACACAATCGCCCAAGGTCCAGAAGTGGGCCGCAAGAAACAGATCTCAGAAATATAAGGGCGATCAGGAACGAGCCACACCCCCTTGTGCCGCCCTTTTTGCCCAGACCCAAGACCATCAGGCCCAAGACCAAAGATCAAAGACCATCAGAGACTGGGCCCAAGACACTCCAAGACCCCGACCATTGAAAGGCATTAAAAGGCACGCCGCGTGGCCGCTCTGGCAAGCCACAAGAGAACCGGCTTCTCCGTAGGCTGTACGAGCTTACTGGTATCCCCTTCTCCCTTTCTTCGTTTGTGACTTGTTTTTGTACTCTTCACACTCCACTGCCCTGTTGCTGCCAGGCAAACTGTTTCGGCTATCCGTCTTTCTCTTTTCTTGTGTCTCTTCCTCTTGTCTTCTTTTCTTGTGTCCTCTTATCTTCCATTCTTCTTTCCTTTTTCCTTTTACTTCTTCCCTTCTTCCGTCTTCTTACATCTCAGCTTGCTCCGTTCAACCTCGTCATTCCACCTCCAACATACTTCCACTTCCACTTACACCAAAGGGAGAAATCGACCGTCATCACCGCAGCGCCGGCACTTTTCTCCCATTTTGCTCGACCACCTTGCATAGGCCGATCGACAGCCATCGCCCCCATTCTCCCAGGTTGTCGTCCACTCGCGTCGCATTCCACAGCCCTGCGCAGTCCAAGGCCGAACTGAATCCAGGCCAAAGGGAAACAGAATAAAACCAACAGAAAAAGGCGCTTCGCTCACGACTCCGCGAAAGGCGTCTCACTATCTCGGCGCGCCCAGACCAGTTTGATGACAACAACGCCTACATAATTAAGAAACACGGAGGCGCAACCTCGTATTCCCACCGCCATATCCATTCCCATTTTATTTTGCGTCCCGACTCTTTTCGCTTCGCCTTTTTGCTTTTTGGCCTTTTGGCCTTTTCGCCTCATTTTACTTTTGCAATTCTCATATTCGCATTTTCGCGTTTTCGCATTTTCGCATTTTCTCTTCCTTCATTTCGTCGGGCGACAAAACTGCACTGGCTGTGGTTTCTTGCTCTCCCTTTTCTCGCCTTCTCCCGCCATCTCGCCATCTTCTCTTTCACAGCAGCGAATCCGCACCCTTTCGCAATGGTACGTTGAAACCAAGGCACATGGCGCGATTCGTGATTTCCTTTGGTTGGACGAGTGCACGGCGTCGTGCGTCGTGACCAGACGAGCCCGACAACAACAATAACAAAGAAAAAAAAATGGCCCGCGTGAACCACCTTGTGACTAACATGGCACCCTCCTTTTTACTTCCAGCCTTCCCACGACCACGCCCGTGCCCACGCCCACGCCCACCACCACACGGCGGCCAGCAAGGGCCAAAAGACAAAAGTCATGAGCGTCTACTTGTGGCAATGCGTGAGTCTTTTCTCTGGGACGGAGCTCGTAGCGTTTGCTTTTACTGTTTCAGAACCCGTCTAACAAACCAGCACATCTGCGGCCTGGATGGCATGGAGGCCGTGACGCAGATGCAGTGCGCCAACTGCGTCCACGTGCGGTGCCCAGACTGCCTCGTCGAGGCCACGCCCGTCTCCGATTGACAATGAAATCCTGGAGGGGAGTAAACCAACGAGGCGGCGGGAGGGTGGCGACAACAGCCCGCCCGCCTCTGCCTCTCTTCTCTCCACGGCGACGACAGCCAGAAGGGATCGGCCATGACGTTCACAGAACAGGCGCAACATCCAAGCATGACAACCACGGCCACCCTCACCGGACATTCGGAACACGATAAACCGCGATACGAATGCGACGCACAGCACCGCGTCGCTCACAACCGCGTCGCGCCGCCCTCTCACATCTCGACCAAGCACATCGCCCTACCATGCTACTTTCTCATCCATAGATATCCTGGCTGGACACAGAAAGCCGCCAAACCATCATGACGGCATCCGACAACGACCCATCCGATTGCCATTATTTTTCTCTTTTTCCTCTCTTTTTCTTCTCTTCTTTCTTCTTCCTCTCTTCTCCCTCTCTTCTCCCTCTCTTCACTTCTTATATTGATCTCCCCAGCGGCCATCTTATTCTCTTCTATTCCGGGAAAGGAAGCGACCGTTTGGGCTCGCTTTCCTCTTCTTTTCTTCCTTTCTTTTTTTCTTCTCCTATTCTTCTTCTTTTCTACTTCATCTTTTCATTTTACCCATTTCCTTTCATACTACATCGTGGGCCGGGGCCATCGGCCATCTGGGAAAATTCATCTTTGGGACCAATGCCTTTTTTCACTCTTGCCATTTCCTTTGTCTTGGGCCGGGTAGCGAAAGCTTCAGGATGGCCTTTTTATTTCATTTTGCTGCTTTGGGCGTTTTCCCTTTCACAATCTTGGGAGGACAAAGACAAAAATCAAGTACACTTTTTGTCAGTCACACATGGGCAGACGTACAACGCGATACGCACTGCACACTTCCCCCGGCTCGTTTCGCCTTGCGTTTTAGCAGTCATTGGTTTTATTTGCAGAGATATCCTTCCTACTCGGGACACTGTTTTTTGTGCGCTACATATTCCATACACAATCCAATTTTTTTTACCCTGATGGGAACGATCGTCAACGAAATCAAAAGTGTTGCTTTGTTCACTATTGTCAGCGAAGATGAACCGGTGCAGACTACACCGTCCATCGGACAAAAGAGAACGCTGCTCAATAGTATTGAAGAATGCTGTTTTTGCTTTTCATATCCATCTGTTCATCACATTTCAGAATGCGCCGACATGTTTTTTCTGGTAATTGAATATCTCACCCAGAACAGCCAACTGAACAAAGGCCAAGTAGATGCGTAAACGACAAACATGAACAAATGACATACCGTAGTTCATTGTACTGTTTGTCACGATTGATATGTGAACACAACCTGAGTCGCAGGCCATGTATAAATAAACGTGCCTCTTTTTCCTTTTGCTGACGTTCGGTGTACTTTGTCATCGTCAACTATTATTATCTTGGAGATCATCTGGAACCAGGCTGCACTTCAAGTGAAGAAAGAAAGTCACAAAAAACAAAAGGAAAAAACGAAAAAGCTTTCTCTGGTAGAAGCTTTGTCACTTTTTATCCCATTCACAAATCTTTGTAGACAAAGATATTCCTCCAGACGTACGCCACTGGCCCCTAGCACTGCCCACGATACCGTCCGCCCTCACGGTTGACGTAGCTTTTCGTTGAGTCAACCATGACGACCTATGCATCGCTGACGCCGGCGATGACGGCAACGTCCGTCTCTGTCGCGCCCTCGTCAGTGGCGTCCATGGTGGCCCAGCTGAACCAGGGCGTCGCAAACGACAGCGCGCCGCCGCCGCAGATGCACGTCACCGCAGCCAGTGCTGCCATCATTGCCCTTTTGCTTCTCGCTGCCGTCTTCGGCATCTGGTTTGCCATTTGGGGCAATCTGGACAGGGCACAGAGGTGGTGCAGCTGCATGCTGGGGCGGCCCAACACAGGTCGTGGCCGTGGCAATGGCAACGACGATGACGGTGACGGCGGCCGGAGCCAGTCCCTCTCCCACGAAATGCAGCCTCCCACGGTCACCCGCTCGTATTCTGTCCAGCGCAACAACAACTGCGTCGACCTCGAGCGTGGCGTGCCTCGTCGACAGGTCAGGTTCTTGTTCGCCTCATCCTCGTCGTCCGAGACGGCCGGAGAGTCGGCCAAGCCTGCCTCCACCTCCACCTCCACCACCACCACCACCACCACCACCCAGGCCGCCACGCCTCTTCGCTGGCCTTTCTGGCCGGATGTGGCCAACCCGCCGGTGGAGCCCGCGCAGCCGGAAAACCGAATGGTCGTTGAGGCGCTTGCCAGAGACTATGATGTCGCTGGCAGGAGAGTCCGCTTCGCGCAAGGTACCAAGGTCGGCCGGGTTGCCCCAGTGTCCCCAGTGTCCCAAGTGGCGCAAGCTGCCCACGCTGCCCAGGTTGTCACCCCCACATCCACGCGGCCGAGCGTTGTCGCTGTCCAGGGCTCTCACCGTAGCAACGGCTCCAAACGTACCAGCAGCACCCCGACCGCCCAGACTACCGACCGCAACTTCTCGATTGGTTCTCGTTCTGGTCTCCGTCGGGACCTGACGGCGCGCAAGTCGGTGGTCGCAGTGATCGAGAATTGAGTAAACTGTGACAGTGACAGCGACAGCGACAGCGACAGTAGACGGGCAATGCCAAAGGCACGGTAAGGAAGCAACAGTGACAAACAGACTGCACCCCAAGACCAAGACGGGGAGGTAAGAAGAAGCCACAAGGTACGTGACATTGTAATTGCTCTTGTATTTCCAAGACAAGAAAGAAAATAAAAGACCAAAAATAAAATATACATATCGATACCAAACACACAGCTAAGTCGCACAACTCCCCGGCTCATGGCCTGCTCCATAAAATGCATCATACAGTGACAAACACGCAAGCAAATTAAACAAGACGCTCAGAAAATTCAGACATAGGCCCTTCACGCCCGTCCGTGCCCACTCGGCCGGATCTGGCGGCACCAGTCACGGCCGTGCTGCACCTGCCAGTTGCAGAGACCGACCTCCATGGCCATGCCGAGCAGGCCGGCCACGCAGATGCCGCCGCTGTCGCTGACGGAGGTGGCGCCGAGACTGAACTCGCGGTCGGCCGCGGGCACGGTCTCCATGATCTCGGCAAACGTGTTGACGTACACGGCGCCGCCCAGCAGGCCCTCCCAAAAGACAATGGCAAAGACGACGTAGACGGACGGCAGAAACGAGTCAAAGTACAGGGCCTGCGTGGTGAGCACCACCAGGTTCACGACCTGGAGGAGCGACGGTAGGTAGAGGCGGTGGATGCGGTAAAAGGGCGTGGACGAGCGCGAGAGAAAGACGCCGAGCTGGTACAGGAAGCCGTAAAAGGGGTAGAAGGCGCGGAACTCGGTAAAGGGCGACGAGGCGAGGGGGAAGAGCAGTGTGGGCGCGACGCCCTGGTTGATGGTGTACTCGGCAATGTAGACGAGCAGGAGCGGCAGCATGTAGGGGAAAAAGAGGGCGCGGGCGCGGCGCACGTTGGCCTGGAACGAGACGGCTGCTGATGGCAGCGGCGGCGGCCGCCGCCGCCGCCGCACGCGGTGGTGGCGTGCTGCCAACGCTTCCTCGTCCTCGACGGCCACCGCCGCGGCTGCGTATGCCGTGACAACCGAGGCGGAGGAAGCCGCAAACCGGCCGTCGCCGACGCCACCGACGCTCTCCTCGCCGTCCTCGCCGTCCTCGCCGTCCTCACTCCCCTCGTCCTCGTCGTCCTCCTCCGCGTCTCTCGGTGCGCCAGGAACGGCCGTGTATCGCTGCTGTTCTTTGGCCCGTCCGGCCGCGCCCCAGGCGGTGGCGGTGGCGCGCATCGGCCCCCGCGGCAGAAGCCCAAAGAACGTCACCAGCATCACGATCGGCAGCACGGCCGACGCCAGCATGCTCGCGCGCACCGAAAAGGCCAGCCACTCGGTCAGAAGCACGTACAGGCCCGCGCCCACGAGCCCGGCGGCGCCCGTGCCGCTGCCCCAGGCCGCCAGGCTCAGCGGGCCGTAAAAGTGCGTCAGCCCCAGGAAGCTCAGCTCGCCGCCGCCGCTGCTCAGACTGGCCAGCACGACGCCCGTGAGCTTGACGGCCACGCTGGCGGTGGCGGGCGTGGTGGCGACGAGCAGCATGCCGGCGGACGAGAGGGCGACGAAGACGGGGATGCGGGCGGCGTAGGGCACGCGATGGATGAAGTAGGGCGCGACGAGCTTGGTGGCAAAGGACGGCAGGACGTCGGCGAGGAGGACGACGCCTTTGGGGAGCGTGCCGACGAGGTCCTGCGCGGCCGACAGGATGATGACGTAGAGGACGTTGTTGATGAGGCCAAACAGCCAAAAGGACACAAAGACGGGCGTCCGGCCGGTCACGAGGGCCTTGACGCGAGCACGGTACAGCGCCCACGACGACGCAGGCGAGCCCGGCAGCGGCAGCAGAAGGCCCGAGGACGACGGAGACCGGGACATGGCGGCGCGTGCAGCAGCGAGGCTGGAGTTGACGGTAAAAGCGAGACGTACATGCGATGCAGCGAAAGTGAGGAGGGAAACGAGCCGTGGTACGAGCAGAGGTCCAGGGGGGGTGGCACGAGATAAGGATACTGCCGGGCGGTGAAGGTGCTAAAGTACCACTGAACTGGGGGTCGGTGGCGCTGTTTACGAGCGCTGACTTAGGTCACGCGACAGTGTAGTTTGATAAGGCCAGGAACAGCCAAAGCGGCAGCTGGAGTCAATATCTGATTCGTTCCAAGCGACGTAAATACTGCGACGTAAATACGACTTACAACTGTCCGTTGTGTCGCTTCTCTTTCACATGTTGTCTCTAGATATCTCACCCCTCGTAAAGTTAGAAACTAGGTAGGCAAAGGAATGCTGGAGTTTGTTCATTTCTATTATTGCTCTGTCGCATATTGCATCAAAAACCACCAAAAACTCCCTCCAGACGCCGGCTTCTCCAAGATGACATGCAAGGGTCGTATACAAGTAACAAAATGAAAGATGCAAAACAATGGTCAAAATGAAAGAAAATTATGAAAAGACTGAAAAGACGCGCGTATGTGCTTTTCTTGAAAGGGAAAAAGCAACTGTGCCAGATGGGTATCGCTAACAAAGCAGTACGGTTGAGACGATGTGTAACGAAACAGTAGGGACAACGAGGCCACTGACTATGAGTGGTAATACTCCTTCCACGACGCAGGCTTTCGGTCCTTCTCAAAGCTCAATCGGCGGTTCATCTCCCAAGCCGACCGCGTAGCGGGACTCGCACGCACAACAGCCGCCGCCAGCCGCCCGATTTCTCCAATGGCGCGCCGGCCGAGACTAAAGGACGTGAAGAAGAGGTGGTCGTCGGGCTCTTCGCACACCGCGAGTTTCTTGGTCAGTGCCGGCACGGCTGGTGCGGACACGACGTCCTTGTGCACAATTTTGCTCCGGAATCGACTCTTGACGAAGCTCAGGCTAGGGCGGTTGTTCCGGACCTGCTTTGGCTGCGCAGTGCCGGTGGGCGGGCCCGGTGCGACATATGTATGGGTCGGGTTCTCCACCTGCGTGTTGGTACCGGTCGGTGGGCCCGGGGCCACGAACGTATGCGTCGGGCCATCAGTGGCGCTGTCCCCCTGCTTGTCCTTTTCTTGTTTCTTGTCCTCGTCAAAATGGAGCTCGGTTGCGATCTTGCTGGTCTCGGTCGGGAGACCAATGACGTGAGGAGCTGCACAGGGCTTGTCGACCTCCAAATAGCGATCCGACTTGGGCAGCTTACCAAAGCCCTTCTTGTCGACAATGCCGCGCGCCCGCATCTGGCCGTCGATGATCACGTCCATCAGGTAGTCGGACATGCGAAAAAGAATGCCATCTCGGAGGAGCGTGGGAACAGGCGGGTGGTCGTTGTCCTGACGACGTTTGGCCGAATGGCTGGGCAAGTCGTTTGTCGTCCCAGTGATAGCGCCTGTCACAGTAGCGGCGGATTCGGCGTCAGCGCCAACACGATCGTCCGGGTGGATAAAGGTAGCGTTCTTCTTGGACCATTTGTGCATCTCGTCCAAGACAAAGTCGTTCCAGAGCTTTGTGAGGCGCACGGCATTGCGTAGATGCTCGGGCTTTGTGTGCAGGTCGGGCGCGTTGGGGCGGTCGAGGTGCCAGGCGGGCATAAGCGACGGGTCAAACAGAAGCGGGATCACGACACGGAACGGTTCGGACGTGGTGCCCTCCCACTTCAGGTCCGAGTTCTGGCCTGCAGCTCCCTCGGGGTTGTTGATGTTGGCCGTGTTGTTGCCGGATGCCAGAATGATGTCGTCGTCGAGGGGGACAGCGTTGTACTTTGAGTACGCAATCGACGTGGCGTCATGAGCAGCGTCATAGAGCATCTCGATGGTCGAAAACAGGTCATAGACCATGCTCGTCACGTACGCCTCGGCCGTATGGGCCGGAAATGCCGCCAGCGACCAGACATCCCACATGCCCGGCGCGAATACCCAGACGGTCTCCTTGGGCGGTCGCTGCGGTGCCGGCTGCTCGAGAAACTGGGCGACCTGCGTGTATAGATCGCGTGCCTCCCACGGGATGGGATACTGCTCGGACACATACGTAAAGTCGTCCGCTGGCACGTGCTCTTTAGAATCCCGCAAGGCCTCGTCGACGGCTGCGCCGTACAGAGAGTTGCTGCTCAGCGAACGGTGCGGCGAATCGAGCACGGGGACGCAGGAAATGTACGTCGTGCAACCGAGCTGCAGCGTGTTAGTTTGTAGATGTTGGACACGGTTGCACAGTCGTGCAAAGAGGGAAATAGGAAAGTCTCACAGCAATGCACAGCTCCTTCGTCCAAGACGTGTCGTTGATGAAGCCTTGGGCATCTGCTACGTCGGGCAACACGGACGTCGCAATGTCGTTCTCGCCAAACACGACGACCCTCAGACCGCCGCCGGCCAGCGCATCGTGTGCATTGTTCTCGCCCGGCACGAGGACCGGCTGGCCCTTGGAGGCACCACGACTACCACCGAGTCCGCTGGGCCGGAATTCCCAAAGGTGGCTTGTGCTGCTGACGATTCGGTTGGAGACGCTCGAGGGCAGGCATTTGGTCAGGGCGAGCAACGAGGCGAGAAGAACTGCCAGGTACAGCAGAAGTTTAGGCCCACTGCGAGTGACGCGGTGGAAGAAGAAGTTGAGGAAGGCGAGAGCCCTGTAGGAGCGTGTTGCGCTTGAGTGCGGTTTTGTTGCCGATGTGAGGGCGGCAGCTACGGAGTCGGGGCTGCCGGCTGATGCGACCATTATGATAGGAAGAGGAGAAAATGATCAGAGAGAAGGAAGAAGAGAGAAGAACGAAGAGAAGGGGGAGGGTGCTGTTGTTAGATACCGACGGCCATGGGAGGATGATGTACGAGATTGGCCGTGTCGTTTACACAGAGCAGGTGGAGTTATGAAGAGATAAGATATATAAATGGATGTAAGGGAAAGCGAGAAAATAAAGATGGTCAGAGTCCTTGCAGAGAGGATGAACGTTGCTGCAGGTATGAGACGGAAATTCAAAGTGGTGAGTTTGGTCCTTGCGCGAGGGATCGGCCGGGCAAAACGACGCCGTTGCAGGCAGTGCGTAGACGCTCACAATTGTTGGTAGAGCGGCGAGTGTTTCGGTATGGGGAGGAAGGAAAGCTGTATTGCAACGTGAAGCGGCTGCTGGAGACACAAGTAGACAAGCTCACAGCCTGCTTAGCAAAGGCGAGGATGTGGATGTTGATCGTGTGCTCTTATTGCCAGCAGGTTTCGTCGTGATCCAGAGCTTGGCAATGGCACTTGGGCGATATGATGAGAAGCCTCGAGATGTCCGTGGTTTGATGGAGACGATTAAGTGAGAACACAAAAGATCTGGCTGCAGCCGCAGATAAAAGTTGAAAGGTGGACAAGAACTTCGGTCGAGTGCAGGACAAGATGTGCCAAAAATGACGAGAGCCAAGAACGAGCAAAGCGCACGGTTGCTCCTTCTCGATCTGTTTTTGGGTGAGTGGGGCCACCAGAGAACAACCACTGTTACAGAAGGAACGAGGCAGGGGCGATGCGGGTTGGCATCGGTGGCGTGCCGGAAGCCGATTTGTGGTCAAGGCGACTATATCAAATTAAAGAAGGAGCTACCGAAAGTGACAGAAACGAAAGGGAAGGAAGTGAAAAGGAAGGAGCGTCCCGGAATGTGGAAGAACCACCTGGGGTCGTTAGATACGGAATGCACATGTAATCAGTAAACAGAAACAGGAACCGAAACGCGCAATAACGACCCAACAAAAAAAAGCATACGAATGCACGCGACATCGGTTTCGAAAGTGGAAATGAGGCGGCATACGCAAGGGGGCATCGGCAGCGTTCACTCGGAGAGGCCATCAGGACCAGATGCAAAAGGCTCGAGATTCGCTGGGAAAGGAAACAGCGATCCTTCCCCAACGCGGCGACCTGTCGCGTGCCCAGACGTCAAGGCCAGGCCTGGCCCACCCCAACGCTACTACTGGGACGCGCCAGGGCTTCGATCGAACTAACTGACCAACTACGTGCAATACTAAATATACACTGTCGACGCACAAATGAGTACGCGGCTTCGTGTGGGCCGAGCCAGACTGAAGAGATGAGACGACCAAGTGCCAGGCCATCCCCAAACACGAAAGCACTCAGCCGGCAACCGGGATCATGGGCTCGAGAGCAAATGACGTTTATATGGGAGGCAGGCTAGCTGTGCTTTCAATAAATGAAAAGGACCAACTACGACCCGGTCTCTGTCTGCCAATTGTGCCAGACGAATTTGTGGCTTGGAGCTGATATTGATGTTCAGGCTCTGACGTTGGAAAGAGAATGAATTGACGTCCAGTGTCCAGGACGTGTCTCTACGTGATGGATAGGCGGCCATCTTGGCCATCAGTTACCTCGCGATGAAACAGAGTTGTAAGCAAAACTTGCACAAAGAAAGAGAAAACAAAACAGGGGCGCACTTCCATCTGTCAACGGGACTCGTCAGCTTGTGGGTCCCGCCCCAAGCCGTCTTGGCAAGTATGGCAGGGGAGGGAGGGAAAGGTGGACGCATTGCGACAGTATTTTGTAGGTATCTCCCAACATGAGAAAACTGCGACGTTTTGTACTGTCTCTTCCGATCCAGTGGATATGCCATTCTGGTCTGCAGAAACACCAGTCTTGAAAGATGCAATTCTTCATTGGTGGCAAACGTATGAAGTCCGTCCCAAACCTCGAGAGAAGATATCTTTATACATGTCGTATCAGGGAACCTAAAACAAATGGCCGATTCATATCAAGTCGTACGGCGTACAAGCCCGACGCGTTGGCGTTCGTCATCTACATACAGAGTCTTGCATGTGTGTGGTTCTCTGTTCTGGAGACTCTTTAATTCGACTCCTTGCATGGGCATCTTGTTTAAGCAACATCGTCCCACTGACCTCAATAACTGACCAGGTCAACGGACATCATCTTGTGTTTGTGTGAAATACGATTGAATTGCCAAGGCAGGCCACGAGGCTGAGAATGAACGAAATAGCAAGGTTATGCGACTCTTAGGCCATGTCCATATAAAATTGGCACAAATTCGGTGCAATATCACTTTGATGATGCTTTAGAGCTACGGCAGGAACGAGGAGGTGCGAACACGATCAATTTTCATTCCTTCACTTGCTTCTGAAAGCATGACATCCCGTCTTTTATCTTGGAAGCCTGTGTCTCTGCCCCCTTGGCCATGATTCTTAATATTCCCGCCGTCCGAATCTTGCGCAACAAAGCAGACCAGACATGAAATCAAATCCGCATGAGACTGCTGGAAACAGGAAACAGGAAAGCAGGAAGCAAGAATGCAAAGAAAAAAAAAGTACATATAAAGAGGCCGCACCCTCCGTTAGCATGGCCAGCAAACAAACGCCTAATTATTTTGGTGTCCCATTTTATGTCCCAAACAAAAACCTGTCCGCCCCAAATCATTCCAAACGTACATTATGCGCAAACGCCCCTCCACCAGCGCAGCGCACAATACAAAAGCGAAAAAGGCGAAAAAGGCGAAAAAGCGAAAAAAAAAAAGGCGAAACAAAATCGCGCAAAACATGCCGACCAAGATTAATACACATAGGCGAGAATTTTATACAGAGAAGCAAAAACGAGGGGTCGAGGCAGGCGCCTACTCCTCCTCCGAGTCGACCTCGCTCTCTTCCTCCTCACTCTCCTCTTCCTCGAGCGGTTGGTTCACTTCAACCGACGGCAGTGGCTCTTGACTACCGCTGCCGGGACGCTGGAATTGCGCCTTGATTTCACGAAGCTTCTCAATGTTGCGCTCCTGCTCCAGCTTGCCCATCGGCTTGTGCTTCTTGGGCTTGCCGCTCGGCTTGCCCGCCCCGTCGCCCGTCGCTCTGGGCTTCTCCGTCTTCACCCGCATGTGGGGGAAGGCCTTGACGATGAGCTCATACAACTTGCCCAGGGCATCTTGTGAAAGCTGGTCAATGTCCAGCTCCAGCTCCCCAGATTCACTCTCCTACAGTGGAAACACGTTAGTCCATGGCAAGCAAACAACAGAGGTGTAGATAGGAAGGGGACAAACGGGATCACGTCCCGACCGACGGGTGAGAGACACGTACCTCTTGACTGGTATCCTTCTTAATGATGTCAATCGCCTTCTCGAGCTGATTGCCATCCAAGTTGTTAATACCGTCTGTCACCACACTCTTCTCGGCCTGGCCAAAGTGCCGCGGCTTGGGAGCCTTCTTGGCCGCAGCACCGGCCGCCTTCTTCGCACCACCAGCACCGGCCTTCTTTGCTGCTGCGCCACCACCGCCAGCCGCCTTCTTGCCCTTGGCCGCTTTCGCCTTGGCTGGTTTCTTGGTCCGGCGGTCGGCCTCCACCGCCGCGAGCTTGATCTTCTCCTCAACAATTTGCTTCTGAATCATATTCGTAACAACTTGCTGCGTCGTGATCATCGTCATGTCCGGAGCGGCGGCGTCTAGCAGCTTCTTCAGGCGCGCGTTCTCCTCATCCAGACGCTTAACAAGAGCGTTGACGGTGTCGCTCGAGAGCGGAGGAGCCGAGATTTCGCCTCCCTCGTCGTCGCTGTCCTCTGCATCCTCGTCAGAATCCTCGTCCTTCACAGACGGGCTGGGCGCTGTCGTCTGCGTGGTGTGCGCCGCAATCCAGCTGTCCTTCTCCGCCCACTTCTGCTTAAAGAGGTCCTCGAGCCGGTTCGCGGCGTCCACGACCTCGCCGACAACGTTGAACTTGCGGCAGTTTTTGACAATGAGCCCAAAGTCGTTCTCAAAGTCCTTGGCAGACACGTACTCGCCAAGGTTGAGCTTCGTCTGCATCGTGCCCAGATCCATCGGCTTCTTGATCACCTTATGGTACGTCGGAATCTGCAGCGCCACAGCATCGACGGGCTTCAAAAACCAGTGGTTGTTCTCGTAGTGCTTCGCCTTGACCAGCTCCTTGAGCACCTCTTCGCAGAACCGGAACTCGGGCGACTTCTTCTTGGGGTTCTTCGGCTCGTAGCCAAGGTCACGGTTCTTGGGTGGGTGGATCGGCCGCTTCGGCCGGTCGCCGTCGTTCTTGGCCGAGTCGCGGCGGATAATGGGCACGCCCGACGACGGGACCGCAAACACCGGTGTCGATGCTTCCACCGCCGTAGCACCGGCCAGGCCAGGAGACGACGCCTTGGTGTTCGCCCCAAACGACGTGGACAGGGCAAGCGGACTGGCCGAGACATTGATGACAGAGTCGTCCGCGGGCGAGCTCGCGGCGCCTCGGGATTCGCGGCGGTTCGCGGCAGCGCGAGGCTCGGTCTGGCGGGTGGGCAGCTGCTTCGGCTCCTTCTTCTCAGACTTCTGCGGCTCCTGCGCAGAGACCTCCGAGAGCCGTGTGAAGTAGTTGTCCACGAGCGACTTGGCCTCGTCGGTCACAGGGTTGCCGAGACCGTTGAACGAAACCGAATTCTCAAAAATCAGAAACAGGTCCGACGTAAATTCGCCATGCGTCGCGTATGCATTTTCACGAAGGTTGCGCTCCAGCAGTCCAATGTCGACTGGCTTCGCCACCCGCGCCGTATACGCGTCCCAGAGCATAGGCCATTTCTTGTGGACAGGATCCTTGAAGTTGTTACCTGCCTTTGTTTTCTTGACACTGGCGAGGACACGACGGATCTCCTTGCTGGCATATGCCGAAATGGGCTCGTCGTCCAGCTTAGGGTCTGCTAGACTGCCCTCCTTTGCCACGGCGCGTGTGCGAGGCGGCATGACAACGGGGGCGACGTCCACCTGCATCTCAGCGCCGGCAGGGGGGGCCTCCGTGTGGCTGGCCGGTGCCGCAGGTGCCTCGGCGTCTTCAGTCTTGGCGCGCTTCGCCGAAGGACCAACCTCCTCATCGTCTTCTCTCTCCCTGGGCACCTTGCCCCCCGAAGCATCTGCCATGATCGTATCCTGTGCCGCCGCACCCGAGCTGTTCTCGCGGGAACGATCGTCACGAAGAGACGGCAGGAGGCTGGAGGAGATGGAGTGCGTGAGGGGCGCGTGGACTGGTGGTGACTTGGCCTTTTCTGGGGAGGGGGCCTTGGACACAGCGGCGGGTGGGGGAGTCGGCGCCGCAGCAGCCGCAGCAACCGCAGCCGGAATCGCATCCGCAGGGGCCGCGTTCTCGCTGGGGGCGGACGCAACGTCAATCATATCGACATCCGAGTCTTTCGCACCAGCTCCCGGTGACGGCGACCCGGGCTTTGTTTCCGCCCGTTCCTCGTCGGACGTCTTCGGCGCGCTGCTGGGTTCGGCAGCTGGTGTTTCTTCAGCGGCGCTCTCCGGTGCGGCCTCTGCGGCTGACTGCCTCCCAGCCTCCAACGAGGGTTCTTTCGCAGGATCCACAGCAGGTGCACGAGTAGCTGTCGGCTCTTCGGTCGACAGTGCTGGTGCTGCTGGGCTAACTTCCTTTGGTGCTTCGGCTGCCGGCTCCTCTGCGGTTGCGGCTGGCGCAGCAACGGCCTCGTCGTCTTTCGCAACCTCCTTCTCGGCGTCGTCAGAGGGCAGGTCTGCTGTTGGTGCCGGTTCCGGCTTGGCGTCGTCCTCTGCTGACTTGTCGCTGACGGGTGCGTCGGTTGTTGCGGTCGTCTCCACTGCTGTTGGCGTCGAGTTTGCGCCAAAGGCTTCGGCGTTCTTAGAGACGTTGTTTGCGACTTCCAAGACCTCCGTCTTTCCCAACGGCGTACTAATCGGCTTGGGAGAGGTCGGCGCTGCATCGGCGTGTCTACAGTGATGAATCGACATGGTTAGCAAGCAAGTCGACTTGGTTCAGAAACAACTGCAGAAGAATCAGACCGCAGGAAGGCAGCAGAGCTGAGGGCTAACTCAATGATCAGAGGAGCCATGATTGTGTGAAAAGTGCGGTGAAGATGACACGCCATTCACCAGACTAGCGCATAGTCGCGGTGAGCGGTGCTTGTATGTTGAACAGATGGCAAAAGTGGAAAGACAGACAGCAGCAGCAGGCTGATGCAATGCGCGGCATCGCAAGTCGCCATGGTCAAGACGATGCTGCGTTGTCATGGAGAACAACGAGACGTCCCTTGTATATAAATACAGAGAACAGGATGCAGGCGTGCGCTTTGCTGGGCTAGAGGGGCTAGAGGGAAGGAGCGATCGGGAGCAGCGCGATTGCGCAGAAAAGGGAAGGCACGAAGCAGAGTGGCCGTCGTTGTGAGGGAAGGTGCGACGTCGCAACACGTGCGTTGCGAAAAGCGCCCAAGAGAGAAAAAACAAGCAATGGAAAATAAAACAAAATGCGACTTACCCATTCACGCCGTTGCTCGTCGGCAGGTCATCTGTAACTGAGGCCATTTTGGTTGGCTCTTTGCGGTCGAGGGAAGCAATGTCTGTCGGATGCGGTGATGTCATGACAGCCATTCGAAGATTTCGTGGAAAGAGGATGCGACTAGTTGGGAAGCAGCGACATGAACACAAATCGGGGCGGCGAGAGGCTGGAGAAGGCGCGGCGTGTTAGTGGTCTAATAAATACTGAACGCCAGAGGTAGCAAATGTGAGCCCCGCCTCGCCGTTTTCTTCCTCGGTTCTCAGGGAGCGATGGAAAGCACAGAAAAAAAGCAAGAAATGTCGCTATAGAATTGAAATAGCCAAAGAAGAGAGAGAGAGAAAAAAAGAAAAGAAAAGAAAAAAGAAAAGAAACAATAAACAAAAGTGAAAAAGAAAGCACAGTGCAAGTGGGGATGTATATGTGTCGTCGAAACAAAACGAGGGAAGGCTGGCACTCTGAACAACGCGGGAACTCACTGTAAAAGCGAAATGGAGAGGCTGGGGCGAATTGCTAGCGGTGGTTGGCTCTGGGCAAAGCCGCAAATGTGTTAGATAAAACGGTGTGGCGGATGAGTTGTGGCGGGCTGGTGATGACTAAGGACCGGGAAAACGAGGAACGGGGTGTCGAAAAGATAAATCGAAGAGAGAAAATACAAAAGCGCGGCGATTGGAAACAAAAAGGTGACAGTGTAAATAAAACCAAATAACTGGGGCTGGTCGCGCAATTGCCAGAGCCTTGGGGGTGTTTGGGGGCGTGCTTCGGGGCACTGGAACCGGAGTGGAAGGAGCGATGCAGGACGAAACAGGTGGTAGGGGGAAAGAACGCACTAGGTGACAGTCGCTGTAGGAAACAGCGGACTCTGATTGGTTGGTGGAGTCGCAGATACGTCGCGTTTTCAAAAAAATCAAAAGAAAAAACACATGTCAGTCCCGGTCGGCAGGCGGGAGGTATTTATTTCGAAAGGTACGTTGGGCGCCGCTGATCTGTTCTTATCTGTGATTCGCCTGTGGTTGGACGAGAGGGCAGAAGAGAATGAGAAGGAAGGGGCGTAGGGGAGGGGGTGTGTTTATGTGGGGTGAGGAAATGGCCCGTGCGCGGATCGGCGTCGAGACTGTGTGCGAAGGACAGAGACGCTAAAAAAAATAAAAGAGGGAAGAAAATCGAAGAAAACCGAGGGGAAGGCGAAAAAAGTTGCCAAAGGCCTTGTTGCTTATGTACCGTGGTTCGCCACTAAGAGGCCGCGCAGCCAATCAGGAGCCGTGCGCAACGCGAGACGCAACACCGCGACGACGTGCAGCTTGTGCCTTTCTTCTGAAAGAAACATTGAAACAGCAATTACGGCAGCGCCAAAGAATCCCGCATGGAACTGCAAGTGGAAGATAAAAAGGCAGAAGTGAAAGGCACGGCCGGCGATAAACCAAGACGAGGCAGCGCGTGTAAGTCACGCCGGTGTTCCAGGAAAGAGCGCGACTTCATTCACCGTTAAACGATAAACTACAATGATGGCCACGAGGAGCGTCCTGAACATCGATTAAGAACAGCAATGTCGAGTTGCTTGCGCCACGAGAACAGGCAGGACGCTTCTCACTGCGCTTTGGAACGCACGCGCCGGATCGGGCAGGTATCACGTAGCTCCTGTCGCACCTTTTCACCATCGTCCAAAGCCAGGCTGTGGTGAAAGGTCATTGTCGCAGTCTTTCCAATGCTCCTTGATCTCAATTAGCGTGACTCCGGCGTCAAAACGGTTACTGCCAACATCAATGCGACTGAACATTGTCTTTGCCAACAGTTTGAATCGCGAACCTTATAGAAATGCAGTTGTCGTGTCGCGTCCGGAGTGCTCCGTTCAGTGTGGAACCCTTGTGCAGTCTTTGCTTGGTTTGCCTTGTTCGATTCCCTTTTTCTTCCATTGCTTCCTGCTTGGAGGCAGACAAGCCAAACGGGTCGTTACAACGGCCCATGAAAAGGCGCGCAAGGTGTGCGCATAGCCGTCGTTTGTTCACAGCTTTGCGAAAATTTTGCGACACAATTGCGCGACCGCTCGCCAGTTCAGACGACGTCTCAGACGTATGTGCCCTGTCAAAAATGAGAACTGAGCATAGAGCACTTCGCCGGAAACAAAGGCCTGTTCTTCTGCACCAATCAATGGGCCCAGATGGAGACAACTGGTGGATCCCATAATCAACGGAAAAGACAAAGGACGGCAGGCAAGTCCCACAATTCAATCTTCAAACACCAATAGGCAGCCATGTATGGGTACAGGCTCCACGCAAACCACCAATGACGACGCAGGCACCCGTGTCCATTTCCGAGGTTGAAGCCTGCACATACGAATGTAGGGCACTGCCACAGTGCGCAATTTCCAGAGGTTCCGATTTTATTCGTACGAACACAACGCACGAATCGAGAGAAGTGAGTCACGAATAAAGTCACCTGATACAAGCAGCGTATATTAGTCATCTGGTAACTGGGATCGTGTGACCTGGCACGTGTGTCTGACTCGGACCCACCCAAAAGGCGGACAAGAATACCGCCAGGAATATAGTAAAGTGACCCAGAAAAAAAACTGTACCAGGACAATATTGAGAACAATTTTTTCTCCCATGCTGCAGTGAGAAGCAGAACATCGAGGTATTGTCGACCCCTACTCTCGATCCTTCAATTGGCTTCACTTTCCTTCTCGGGGCGTTACGCATAGGACGACACGGCTTTGCAACTAATGGCCCATTTGCATTTTGCATTTTAATTCGTCCTTGCTGTGTTTTCTTTCATCACCTCCCTTCTTCTACACATCATCTTCACAGCGGCCATACTACATTCACAATCACATTCACATTCATATTCACAATGTCGTCGACTAAGCGGAAAGCACCGCCGGTGCGCATTGCCCAACCGCAGACGACGCGGAACGCGAAACCCATGGCCAAGACACGCATCAACGAGCCCAGAACAGCGGTCGTCTCTGTCCCGAAGCACCAGCAAAAGGCGAAGCTGGCCGCCGGCGAGTCGATTGATATCTCCAGCGACGAATCCGACGACGAGGCCGCCGACGTGGACGGGGACGAGGACGAGCTGATGGACGACGATGCGCCGGTGGACGCCGCCGCTGACGAGCCGCAGACCAACGGCCACAAAGGTACGACGAACAACGAGGACGACGACGAGAACAACGACGACGACGACGACGACGAGGACCACGAGCCCACGTTTGGCGACCTCGTCCGCGAGCACGAGACCGTCGATGTCGCCGCCGCCCTGAGCCAGCTCAACCCGGCCGAGGAGCCCGCCGACGCAAACGCGAACGGCCGCGCCAAAACCAACACCGCCGTGGCGGCCGCCCCCACGCTGGCCTCGCTCGGCCACCTCCTCAATGCCGCGCTGCGCTCCGGCGACGACGCCAACCTCGAAGTCTGCTTCAACACCACCACCGACGCCGTCTGGATCCGCAACACCATCCAGCGCCTCGACCCCTCGCTGGCCGGCGCCCTGCTGCAGAAGCTGGCCGCCCGCATCCACCGCCGGCCCGGCCGTGCGCACACACTCGTCGGCTGGGTGCAGTGGACCCTCATCACGCACGGCGGCGCGCTGCTGGCGAACCAGGCGGGCGTGACGCGTGCGCTGCAGGAGCTGCACCGCGTGCTGGAGGAGCGCGCGCGGGGCCTCAACAGCCTGTTGCTGCTCAAGGGCAAGCTGGACATGCTGGAGGCGCAGATGCAGCTGCGGCGGGTGCAGCGGGCGGGCGCCCATGCGGTAGCCGGCGGCGGCGGCGGCCACAGCGGTGTGGCCACAGTCGGCGGCCGGTCTGGCAGTAGCAAGGCGCTGGACGGTGTGAACGGCCTGGGCCGCGCGCGAGGTGCTGGTGGCCGGAGACGCAACGGCGCCGGCCTGGGCCGCGGGGCACGGGACGTGGACGACGACGAGGAGTTTGTGGCCACGTACCGCGAGGAGGACGATGTGGAGGAGGAGGACGAGGCGGGCCAGATCCTGGTCAACGGCGCTGGCGCTGCCAGTGAGTCGTTTATTGCGGAGTCGGATGAGGAGGCGCTCGACGACGATGACGACGATGAGGACAGCGAGGGCGACGAGAATGACGACGCGGAGGATGACGATGACCTCGAAGAGATGGACGACGACGCTGCCGAGGAGGGCGAGGTCGACTTTGACGACGTTGATGACGAAGACGACGATGACGAGGACGAGGACGAGGACGATGCCGCTGCTGCACCGCCTCCCAAGCTGCAGAAGAAGTCGGGTGCTGCTTTCTCGAAGCGGAGGTGAAGACACGTCACGAACGTGGAGTAGTGACAAAAGGGTTTCTTGTTTTGGATGCCATCCTATCTATGTTGTCTTTATATGTCGTGCTTCTGTCATGCTGCATTGGTTTTCTTTTGTTATGCTTTTACGCTTCATCGTCTGGCGACCACATTTGCTCTTTGCCGCAAGTTCGCAGCATCCGGTTGTCATTAACATTTTGCGCCATAGATAAAAATGTAACTGGAGTTCGGATAGGAATTCACATTTCTTGTTTTGCTCTTTTGCTCGTTATATAAAAACAAGCGTGAAACGTACTATTACTTGTGACCTTTTCTATATTTCGCTTCCTAAGATCGTACTGGCCAACGCCCAACGCAATGCTACAAAAAAAGATTCTCAAATGCCCATCATACAAAAACGTGCTAGACCAAAACCACATACCCTCCAGCATATGACAAATAAAAGACCAGGCCGGGACTAGTAAATGTGACGACGAAATGAAAAGGTACTTCAGAGAGAACAGATCCTGGGATCAAGGCAAGACGCCCTGGCGCCAGCGCTCGACACGGTCCACTTGCGGCGGCGACTGCATCGGCATTTGCATCGGCATTCCCATGGGCATGCCCATAGTGGGCATCTGCATCTGCATCGGCACCGGCATCGCGCCGTACGGGTTGTACGCAGGCTGGGCGGCACCGTAGACGCCGCCATAGGCCATACCGCTGTTGGCCATCATACCCTGCTGCGGCATCCCACCGTAGCCACCAAAGCTCGTGTTGCGGTTGGTCATGCCCATGCCACCCATGCCACCCATGCCACCCATGCCTGTGCCACCCATGCCCATGGTGTTGAGGCCAGAACCATAACTGGCATTCGCCATGCCCATGTTGCCCGTCGTAGCCGACGACGTCAAGTTGAGTGCGCTGGCGTTGCCCATGGGCCCGCCCATGCTGCCAGGATTGGCCCAATGGCCGACGCCGGGTCCGTCATGGTGTTGCCGCATGGTCGTGCGGTTGAGCATGCCGCCATTGCCGCCGGCACCGTCGTTGAGGCGGCCGCCCAGGAAGCCGCCCGACTTGGTCACGCCGCCACCCAGGCTGGTGTTGGAGATGGTGCGGGGCATCTGGGCGCGCATGGCGGCCATCTTCTGGTCCTTCTCAAAGGCCGCACGAGCGGCTTCCTGTTCGCGGCGGATGCGCTCGGCCTCGCGCGGGTGGTACGCACCCTGCGCCGCGTCGGCAGGGTGTGCTGAGAGCACATTGGCCATGGATAGGCGACGTGAGAGGCGGTCGGAACCGGTCAGTGCGTGCAGGGCCTGTCCGTTGACAGCCAGGCCGCCGCTGCCGCCGCCCGAACCCCCAACCATCCCCTGCTCCTGAGCTTCCTTCTCGGCTTGCAGCCGGCGCCGGCGCTGACCCAGCGTCTCCTCTTCTTCGGCAGCAGGTTGCTGTGACTTGGCCTGTTCCTCCTTCTCGAGCCGCTCGCGCTCCTTGGCTTCTTCTTCGGGGTCCACGAACTGGTTAAGGAGCTCTTCCGAGAAGGCCATGCTCACCGGCCGTGCGCGGGGCAGCTCGCTTTCTTCCTTCGCCTTGATCCGCTGCAGCCGGGCGGCCAGGGGCTCGTCCTCCACCTCTTCGACACCGTCGTCGGAGCGATCCTTGTCACCGTCAGAACCTTGGCTATCGGCTTGAGCAGCAGCGTTCTGGTTCAGGGCGGCGAGGGTCGGCGTCAGGTTGAGCATGCTCTGGCGTTTGACGGCATTGCTGCCAAAGTTGGGCCCCAGATACATGCTGACGGCAGTGTCGCGGCCTTGAAGGCGGTCACGGCGTCGGCTGAGAGGCTCGTTGTCTTCCAGCTCCTTCCTCTCCATGAGGCCGAGAGGACGGTTCATCTCGGCAACAACAGCGGAAATGTCATTGTGCCCAGCTGCCTTGGCCGCGAAGAGCATGCCCAGCGGGACGTCCTCGTCATCGCTTTCCTTGTCGATCGGCTGCATGGAAGGATCCTCCCAGGCGAGGTTGACCTTCTTCCCCTTGCGTGCTCGCCGCTCGATCTCGGCCACAGCATCCAGTTCCAGCAACGTCGAGTGCATTCCGTTGGGGAAGGCCTGGTTAATAGGGCGCGTGCGCAGCTTCTGCTGTTGCTTACGGAGTTGCAGCTCAGCGAGCAAAGTCGTCGGCGCGCCCTGGTAGGCGGCACCAACCAGTTCGTCCTCGTCCTCGTCATCATCCTCGTCTTCATCGTCGTCCTCATCGTCCTCCTCCCCCTCGTCCCTGTCGTGCTCGCGGTCATATCCCCCGTCGTCTGAGACCCGCTCGTCATCGTCCGGGGCCAAGACAGCTGCCGTTCCCTCGCTCAAGCCAGGTGATCGCAATGCTCCGTCAAAGTTCTTGGAAAGGCGTTTGCGGACGCGAGGTACCTCAAACTCCGACCGTCCATCGCCGACAGGCTCACTGACTTTCCGAATGTGGCCCATTATGGACATGAAAGAGCTGCGGGACTTTGATGTCGGAAGGTCTTTTTGCTGAATGGGCGAGATCCCCGGGCGTTTGGCGGCAGCACTGACAGCACTGGCAGCATTGGCGCCAGCAGCGCCAGCAGCGCCTGTCTTCTTCTTGGGTCGTCTCTTTTCGGTACCGTACACCTCCTTACCAAGATGGCCAGCAAATTGGTGGTCTGTAAAGGCGCCGACGGGCGCGGCAGCGGCGGCATCGAGGATGCTGTCAAGAGTATCCATGGCAGAGCCGTTCTTCACCTCAATGTTGGCTGTGGTGGATGGATGGTCAAAGAAGGCAGAGGCACGAAGCTGCGCGGGCAACTTGGTCATCGTCGACAAGCGCGACTTGCGTTTGTCGGCGTCTATAAGTCGTGACGGACGACGGAGGTGGTTCATATCGCCCGACTCGACTTCACTGGGAGTGCCAGTCGCAGGACTGACCTCAGCATCGGTCGTACCAGTCGGGTCGACCCCCAGCAACGACTGTCTTGTGGGCGACCTTGTTTGGTCTGTAGGGCCGCCGCTCAAGGCTGGAGACAGGGGGTTGGGAGAGACGGAGTCGGAAGTCAAGTTGGGACTGAGAGAATCGGATCCACTCATAAAGTGAGAACCAGCGTCGCCATCCATCGGATCAGGAAGCCAGACACGAGACGCCCGCTCCTGTTTCGGCTCTCTCAGTTCGGGGCTGTGTCCCGGCGTCATCATCATGCTCATGACCTGAGAGCGCCTTGCGTTGCGATCAGCCGCCTTGGGGTTTCTAGACAGCTTCTGAGGCAGCTGTAACATGGCCGGAACACGAGCAGGATAGAAGAGCATTTGCTGGCCGGTTTGAGGGTCGAGGTACGACGTCGGGCGAGGCGGCATGGGCAGGCGATGTTTAAAATTTACCGGCGGAGTCTCGCGAGCCGGCTCTTCGGAAGGCGGACGTTCCAGGATCGAAGGTGCGCCGCTTATGGACCGCCTCAAATTTGCCGTCTCCGGATCGCAGTGAACGCCGTCAAAATCGTCAAAGGCGAGTTGCGCCTGATCAAAGGTGCCACCAGACGCAGCTGATGCCGGACGCTCCAGTTCATTCTGATGATCTACGTCAGGCCGCTCTTCAGGTACCAAATCGCGACCAGCCGCCGCACTCTGATCAACGTCGGCCTCGCTGTTATACTCCTCCTTTGGTGCACCGTCCCTTGGAAACTGCACGTCCGTATGGCCGGGAGAAGTATAGTCGCGGAACGCCGCAGGATTCGGGACATATTGCGGTGGCGAAGCATAGCCCGCGAAGTCGGTCACGGAGGGTCGAGCGATGGGAGGAGGTGAGCGAGACGAGAGCAGTGAAGAGTCGGTACCAACAGACGAGCCCAGTGCCGCCAGCGGCACCCACGACTCCTGGTTAGGTGTCAGTTCAGCGTCTCCTGTCGCTGCACCGTCGTCGACTTCATCATGTGGCTCAACGTCAATATGTTGGTGCGCACTGGCGCGGATCGTGTCATCGTCCTCGGGGTCTTCGCCGGCAGCCATGAGACGGTCGGCCTCATCCAGAGCATCTTGTGTCAGAGTGGAGGGCGGCTCCAGTTCTGCAATCTCTGGCATAGATAGCTTGCCAGAGCGAGTACTGTGAATGGAGCTCTTGCCAGTTCCGTGACGTGAGAGGAAGGGGAAGATGTCATCGCCACCTGTGATGGACTGGTCGGAGATGCCGAGGATATTGGCCATCAGACTGCCATGGGGGCTGCCTATGCTGCTGGCCTTGCTGTTCGATCGCTGCCGGGTACCGCCGGCAACAGAAGAGCTGGGCGACATGATGTAATCGTAAGGGGACAAGGCACCGGCGCGTGCGGCACTGTTCAGCTCAATAATGGAACTTTGCCTCGAGAACTGTCGACGCAGGGGCGGCGCCTCTGTTGGATCCGCAACCGACGTGCCTCGCGAAGACGCCTGGCGGATGCTTGCCGCAAGAATCGAGGAGCGTCGGCTGTCGCTGCGTTTCAGTTCCTGGTGGGCCTCGCGGATGGCTGTCTCGATGGAGCCGGTGCTGGAGAGTTGCTCGGCCGTTTCCTCGAGTTGTGCAATGTTGCTAACGATACTAGTGGAGCCGCCGTTGGGGTCAGGAACGGGCTGTCGAAGCGGTAGATTGCCGTGTGAGGAGGTCGTGCGGACAATAGCGGGCTGCTGTGGCAGCGGCGGCGGGGGCGGCGACGACTTCTTCGGCTTGACAGCCTTCGGCTGGAAGAACTTTGCTGTGGACGACGTGGTTGCGAGAGCGCCAGCAAGGGGTTTTGCGGCGCTGATGGAGTTCAGGGTGTTCGAGTAGGTTTTCTGGGTGGCGTTCTCTTCGCCTTTCGCACGCGCATGCGGCGTGGCACACTGTGTCGCAGGGCCGGAGTGTTGTTGTGATGATGCAGGCTGTGGTGCGAGCTGTGGTGCGAGCTGTGGTGCAGGTTGCGCTGCAGGTTGCGCTGCAGAATTCAGTGCAAGAGTCGGTGTCTCACAGCGTGGGTGGGCGTGCTGGGCCTGAGAGGGCGCCGTACTTGGC